AACAAAAGTAGCACATCAAGGATTTGTCCACACACTTGTTTTAGTGGAGAGAAACTAGGTGAGGATAAAATTCTGTTCGGAGTTTCATCACTGCTCTTGAATTCAAATAATGAAAATACTATCTCATTAACAGTTTTTAGATGTCTTGACAACCATAAATGTAGTGCTTTTAAGTTGGCAACTTTTAAAGAAGTAACTCCTAAGTATAAGTTTAATAAATAATGATAAGAATTAGATTGCGCAGAATGGCAATGAAGAGTAGAACAGAAAAAAAAACAAAAGTAGGCATTATATAACAAGGGAGCCAGAGGTCCTTTATAATTAGAATGTAAGTAAAACTACATATTTCTAATAAAGTCAGAGGATCAGCATGAAAGTGGAATGTTTCATAGACATCTATAGTCCTGCATTTTGAGGATTAATAAAAGTGGGTATGTTTCCCTCTCCTGGCTCCTAAAATCTCACTATGATGAAGGGAAAGGAATTTTATTTGCAAAGATAATAATCCCAAGGACCATGAAGGGGAGGGCGACAACAGCAAATGAATGAGATGCTTGTGGGAATTTATGGATGATGAGAAGTAGAAGGAGGGAGGTAGCAGATTGAACAGAGTAGAAACCCAGTTGAGGTGTCTGAATTAGGAAGCAGAAGTTCAAAACATTGTGATCCTTCCCAGGACTCTTCCCAGTCCAACAAAGAGCACCAACAATAAACTGAGTACTTTCTGCCACCAATACAAAATAGATTTCCAGCTATACAAAAAAAATCTTATCTGGCCAGAAAGCAACCAGAATAAGCTGAAGAGAAGCATGAAGTGTGAGTCAGTGGAGGTCAGTGAGAAAGATCAGAAAAAGAACCTGAGCGCCCTTCCCCAGACTGCTCCAGAAAGACAACAGACAAATGGATGCTGCCTCAGGTTAGATGCTAGAAGCATATTTAATCCCAAGGAAAATGCCAGGGTGTCTTTATGACTCTAGCTGACAACGTCTTAACTGGAACACACGGGGCATTCAACCACCTTTCCAAAAGTATCTGACACTTGAGGGAAGCCTCAAATAGGAAAGCAAGATGAGAAAAACAAGAACAAAAAAAGGAAGTTAAAATGGATCCAGAAGATATACTAATAATGCATATGGCATGGGAGGGTAGGAGGGGAGATGGAGGGGGGGGCGTACACTAAAGGTCTACACTACCTTGAAAGAGAATAAAAGGGGTTTTCCATTAAAATGAAATAAGGGACAGAATGAAAGTTTGTGAACTAAAAAAAATTTTTCAATTAAAATAACCAAGGCTGAGGAAATGACCCAATGCACTAAGCACAAACTTTGCAAACAGGAGGTCTGGGTTCAATTCCCAGCACCATCTGGGTTTCTGAGTACTGCCAGGCATCACAACCCTAAGTACCAAACCAGGAGCAGTTCCTGAGTACTCCCAGGTAAGGTCCACAAACTAACAACAAAAAATAAATATTCAAGGAAGCAATGTAGAATAAAGTTGAAGACATAACTCAGAAATGCAACAAAGAAACAAAGAATGGGAAACAAAAAAAAGTTTTGTTTTATTTTGTTTGGGGGCCACATCCAGTGATGCTCAGGGGTTACTCACACTCAGGGACCACTCCTGGTGGTCCATATGGGGGTGACCATATGGGATGCTGGGGAACAAGCCAAAGTCAGCCACATTCATGGCAAATGTCCTACCCACGGTACTGGCTCAGGCCAATAAAAGGATTATTTTGAAAATTAGGAGACTAGCACATGTAATATTTTTTTTAAATAATTCTAGATAAGAAAAAGAGAAAGCTTGGGGATAAAAGTATGTAAGAAATAATGCAGGAATATGTCCTAGGATTAAAGTGTTATGTACCAAGATTTATCTTTTCCAGATACACTCTTTTTAGAGAAAAATAAAGAGACCCGCCCCTGGTTGGAGGGAATATCCTGAGTTTCCAGAGATAAAATAGTTCAGGCATTAAGCAAAAGGAGCTAGAACAGTACTTAATTTCCTAAGAGCAAAACTGGATACTTAACTGAATACCTTCAAAATCTGGAAGGATAACATTCATCTGAGACTACTTCACCCTTCCAACTACCAATCAAGTATGAGAATTCCATAAAAGCACATCATTACAGCACCCCGAAGATTAGCTTTCAAAGTATTCTTTCTTCAGAAAGCACTGGTCAGTGTCAATGAGATAGTACAGTGGGTGGGGAACTTGCCTTGCATGTGGCTGACATAGGTTCTGTCCCCATCACCCCATGCAATCTCCTGAGCATTGCCAGCAGTGTCCCCTGAGCATAGAGCCAGAAGTAAGCCCTGAGCACCTCCAGGTATGGCCCCAAAAATTAAAAAATAAAATAAGAAAGTATTGGCAGATACATTTTAGTTGAATTGGTGAGGTTTAAAAAGAAGGAGAAAAACATAAAATGATATGGAACTATAAACTCTCATCTGAACTGGAACAATCAAAGTTTTAGGGCAATGACTGTGCATTTGTCCTAAAGTCAACTTCAATCTACACTAAAGGAAGCAGCTGCAGGAATAGAGTGTCAATGGGAAAACAAATTAGTCAAAGTTGTCATGTTTGACGACGTGAAAATAGTCCTGAAAGCATTTTCTAAAAAGCTTTTGAAAGATTTGGAAAGAATACATACAAAGAATGTAAGATAACAAGAAAATAAAAATATTAACTTCAAGACAAACAAAAAGGCCTGTAAGAAAGGAAAAGTAATCAACATTAAATGAAAATCAATAATATAAATAATGCAAATATTGATACAGATTTGACTCAAAATTGTGCTACATTAAACATTATATTGACAGGATAGTAACTGGAATGAAGAGGAACTAGAAAAATTAAATCTTCAAATATCACAACAAAAAAACAAATACCAGAAGGAAAAATACAAAAATAACTGAAAGTAATCATGTGGGGGAAAAAAGATGGCAGAATGCAAATTTAAATATCTACATGAATGTAAATAGTCAAGATTTTTAAGAAAATGCTAGTCCAACTTATAAAAAAATCTGTTTTAGTAAAAACTGTAATTAATTTTAAATGACTAAATAAGTTAAAACATGCTTTCATTTTACATTTCACAAATTCCTGAAAATATTTCTAAGTAACTTTGTGTAAAAGATTATCTATGGATATCTATGGAGTTCTGCTTTAGGTTGTTTCTCTTTTTTTCAAAACTAATACAGGAATTTATTTTTTTCCTTTTTTTCTTTTTGGGTCACACCCAGCGATGCACAGGGGTTACTCCTGGCTCTGCACTCAGGAATTATCCCTGGCAGTGCTCAGGGGACCATATGGGATGCTGGGAATAGAACCTGGGTCGGCCACGTACAAGTACAGGGAGGTGGGTGGGTTTAAAGTACTGAAACTTCTATTTGGGGGCTGGAAAGATAATATAAGTACAGCAAGTAAGGCACCTGCCTTGCATGTCGCAAAGCAAGTTCGATCTCTAGCAATTCTATTATTAGAATTATTTAAATTTTAATACACCTTTTATGTTTTGATATACTATATTTACCAGACTTGTGCTAATAGAATATTAGGCAATAATATGTATATAGGATTTACAAATAAGCATATACATATTGGCAGTATATTCTCAAAATTTACTGATCATGATCAAAAACATCTGTATAGCTTTAAAATAGTACAGTAGACAGGGTGCTTGCCTTGTATGTAGCAGAGTGAGGTTCAATTCCTGGAACCCCCTAGGGTCTCCCAAGCCTGCCAGGAGTAATCCCTGAGTGCAGAGTCAGGAGTAAACCCTGAACAAAGTCAGGTATGGTTCCCAAACAAAACAACAACAAAACAACCTGTGGGTGGCGCATATGCTGCCTGAGCCCAAGTGCTGCTTGTGCCCAGGAGGCCGAGCACATGTGGCAGCTAAGCACATGTGTCACCCTCATCTCCCCTCTTGAGATGTGTACTTTCATGCTTTCGTGTCTAATGCTGGTATGTGTGTAGAGGATCTTTCCACGTTTCTCTCTCTCTCTCTCTCTCTCTCTCCCTTCTCACTTTAAAAAACCTACCAAATAAAATCTATTTATTTCTATTTATTTTACTGCTAAAAAAAAAACCCCAATCTGGGAGCAGTGAGATGACACAGGAGGTAGAGCCCTTTCCTGCACTTGGCATACTCCTGTTACCAAATTCCCATGAGCACCATCATCACTGAGTGTCATCCTAAAACCCCAAACAAGCAACCAAAACTATTTGAAGCCTATTGATTTAGGGTGTATCTCTCTAAACTATAGTTGGCAAGACATTACTGTGCATAAGAGTGAAAAACAAGTGTTCAAAAGTAAAGAAGGTCAGTAAAAATCTAACATGACGTTCCAGACCAAAAAAAAAAAATTGTCACAATTGGGGTCAGAGACATAGTACAGTAGTGAAGGCACTTTTCTTGCACGTGGTTGACCTGAGTTGGATCCTTAGCATCGCACAGCGCCCATCCAATCCCCACCAGGAGTGAGCCCTGAACACAGGAGTACGATTTGAGCACTGTCAAGTGTGGACACCTACCCTCCCTGCTGCTAAAATAAATGCAGGTTACGACTGAAAGTTAGGCAAATGTAGGCAGAGGAACAAAAACCTCAGGCATAAAATAATTAGCTAACATTCAGTATAGTTGCTGCAGAACAAAATGTTTGATTAAAACTTTATACTGAATGCTAGAAATGTCTGGGTTTTCTAATACCTTTTGATATGCTCATTTTTCACCTGTTCAGCACAGACTATTGCTAAATGGGTCTAAACAATGTGTGTCTGGGGCTGTCACACAGGTTCTGTTGATGAGACAGTATTCTACAGAAATAAAACACTTAGGGAGCATTGATTTGGGGAATTAGATCCTCGTCTCTACCCAGAGTGCTTCATTTTCACATGCAGGCAAAATGTCACTCAACCATTAAGGACCACACTGTTCACTCTCCGGTATCGAATAATATTTTAGAAATTCTTAAGTTTAGAATCTTCTACTTACTCACTGTCACTTTGTCCTTATCCCCCAACATAATATTGTTTGGCGTCAGATCTCGATGAACAATCCTCTTCTCCTTGTGTAAGTACCGGAGAGCTAAGCACAGCTTGAAACAGCAAATAAATAAATCAATTTAAGGCTAAGTGAAGTAAGAAGTAATAGACAGTTACCTGGGGGATTTGCACCTATGTGTGATATAAAAATAAAGAAGACAAACTAGCAAAACAAAGCTGACTCCTCCAAGGTCCAATGAAAACTAGGGTAGTGCTGAAGGGAAAGAAATGGAAGGGAAGGGGGAGGGGGAGGGGTCTTTGGGGAGTGGAGTTGGTGCTGGCCTTCAAGGGAAAGAGGTGAATCCTATTCACACACAAGAATGTGAAGCCATAGCGTTGAACTTCTATAATACTGGAAACTAATGGTAATCAATAAAAGGTGGGTGGTGGCGTCAGAGAGATAGTATAGCCAATACGGTGCTAGACTTGAACACAGCCAACCTGGGTTTAATTTCAGGCACTCCATAGAGTTCCCTGAGTCCACCAGGGAGTGATCCCCGAGTGCACAACTAGGAGTAAGCCCTGGGTATAGCATGTATTGGCCCAAAAACTAAATAAATTAAGTGAAGAGAACAATTTTAGTTTCCTCAATGTGTGTACAATATAAACAAACAGCTACTCCATGTGTGTCCACGAAGTCAGCTCGAACTTTGCTCTCTCTAGGAAAACATACCTGTATAAATATTTTCCATAGTCTTTCTTCAGTAAAATGGTGTTGCTTTTCCTTCAGAGAACTGAAATGCTCCCCAAGAGGTGCCCCCTCTATAAGCTCCATGACTATATATAGTCTGTCGTCTATTCAAAAAAGGAAAAGGGTAATAGAACTTAGAATTTTGCATAGACTTTAGAATGAAAAGATCCCACTCACAAATTAGAATCCAAGCTTCTAAGTAGGCATGCAAGGGAGTGCATTCAAAATTTAGGGATCCTCTCAGCTGTGGAGGGACAAAGCTGATAGACTTTTTTGTGCCCTTGCACAAAAAAGCAAGGGCACCAGGACACAGAACATCTGGGTAACATCAGGAGAATCAGCAAATAATCTAAGTCACAGAGGAGTTCCCGAAGAACATGTAAGCCCAGTTTTCCTCTTAGGAAGAGGAGGGAAGAGGAGGGAAGGGGAGGGGAGGAGAGGGGAGGGGAGGGGAGGGGAGGGGAGGGGAGGGGAGGAGGCTTTAATTTACTCTTCAAGAAAGTAAGATCTTCAAAAATGACATTCTGAAAGTTCACTGTCCTGTAATATCATAGATTTTCCCTATGGAATTTGATAACTGAATCATGTCATAGTCTTGCAAAGGCATAGTTGAAAGTATTACCTGTATGGCATGTTGTCTGTTGTGTGCCCTTTGAGAACAGAAAGCCCAACCTCTCCTGATTTTATCCTATGGTACTGGGAACCTCATAACCTAATGTTTCTCACTTTGTTACTGTGCTTCAGATGCTAAGAAACAAAGAAGTAAATTCTACATGTTTTTCTTAAGCCAAAATAGTATGTAACATATATATATTTTGCGACAATGTATGTGTATGTGAATAGCTATGTATATTCATTTTAAAATGTAAATATTATATAAACATGAAATGAAATATCAAACATGTTTTTATAATTTATACTTTTTTCCAGTCATGGCCTTATATATCAGTGCACATATCCACACCATTCTTATTGTTGCCTACATAGTATTCCACAATACATGTACACCATAGATGTATTTAATCATTCCCTTCAAGCTAGATGTTAATATAGTTTCAAATATTTCATAATTCCAAGAAATATGTATTATATGTCTTAACTTATTTCTAGCTTTATTTTTAATTTCACCAGCTTTTATTTCCATATATCAACATTGCCTATTCTACTTTTCTCATGTTTAATGGATTTTTAAGTTAATGCCTTTTTTTAAATATACCAGGTAATTTTTAAAAAAGGGTCTTATTTATTTTTTTAAAATTAAGACAAGTGTATCACTTCAAAGTACAAGAACTGTAGCACTGTAGCACTGTCCTCTCGTTGTTCATCGATTTGCTCGAACAGGCACCAATTATGCCTCACAACAAATTGTGAGACTTTTTACTATTTTTGGCATATCGAATATGTCACAGGTAGCTTGCCAGGCTTTGCCGAACAGGCAAGATACTCTCAGTAGCTTGCCGGGCTATCCGAGAGGGGCGGAGGAATCAAACCGGGTCGGCCGTGTGCAAGACAAATGCCCTATGCGTTGTGCTATTGCTCCAGCCCAGGGACAAGAACTAAATACAAGAAATGATTCTTAAGAGGTAAATTAGTAGGAGGGGTTAACATATCCAGAAACTGAGTTTGATCCCTGGCACAGAAAAAAAAATCAAATATGAAGAACAAATGGGCAGGATTTGCTAGAGAGTCACAGCACTGAATCCTGAGTCAACTGGCTGAAGAGAAATGGGTGAAGTCGTAACATACCAAAGAGCACAACAAAAGTACTGATAAAGGGGCTGTGCGGGCACTCCCATTGTTGGCTTGTATGTCCCTAAATCTCCCTTCAAGTTGAGATGTGGGTTTGAAATATTTCCTATGTGATGCATATTGTTAAGGTTTATCAAGTATTACATTTTCTTAGCCAACATTACTATATAGGTGTGTTTTGTTTGAGGACAGGGCTGTGCTCAGGGCTCTGTAATCATTCCTGGCAGTGCTCAGGGCTCTGTAATCATCCGTGGCAGTGCCCAGGAGACCACATGTGGTGCTGGGGATCAATCTGAAGTCAGTGGTGTTCAAGGCAAGGGCCTGAACTCCTGTAGTGTCTCTCCAGCTCCTACTAAATTGGGGTTTTGGGGGGGGGGTTGTGAGGGTTTTTTGTTGTTGTTGTTTTTATCCTTTCTAGCAGCCTCTGTTTCTTTCCCTTTTTTTTAATTTTTATTAGTGAAACACCATGAGGTACAGTTGTAGACTTATACATTTTTGTGCTTGGATTTCAATTATACAATGATCAAATACCCATTCCTCCACCAGTGCCCATTTTCCACCACCACGGGTCCCAGTATCCCTCCCACCCCCCATCTATATTGTTTTAAACTAGTGATTTGAGTTGGACTTCTCCACTTTTTCATTCAGTGCTACTATTAGCCTTACTGCAGAATCAGCTGGGCCTCCATTGCCACCTTGTGGTAGTTTCTGAACCTTGCATAATAGAGATCTAGGACAAAGTCCGTTCCCAATTTTTTGTGAGGGGGAGTTTAGGGGAGAGAGGGGAAGGGGTGGCCAGGAGTGGAGAAAAAAATTCATCAGAGTCAAAAAGAAAATAAAAACATTCATTTTTATCCACTATCTCTTGGTTTACTTATCTCCTCATCCTTTTTGTTTGCTTGCTTTGTTTTGTGCTGGGGATACTATGTTTTGTGCTTGGGCCCTGTGTTGCGAGAAGGGGGAAGGGGGGTTGTATCCAGTGGCGTTCAGATGACTCTACAGTCCTGGGGGTCAAACCCAGACTTCCTGCATGCAAAGCATATGTGCAGCCCATGAGGAATCTCTCTAGCTCTCTCCTGATCTGTTTTGATTGTATGAAAACACCTATAACTGTTTTCATTTGTTCGTTCTTTCATTTAGAAGCCTAAACATTTTATAAATAGCTTTGGTCAATGGTTTTTTATATCACAGTTTCATGCATCAAAAAACAATCTACTATGTCCTTCACATTCTACCGAGGTCACAGGGTGCCCCCCATGAGCGGCTCTCCAGCACGGCCAGGGCTCCAGAAGCACAAGGACTTAACACAGAGCCCAGCAGCTTGTGGCAGAAAAATGAATGGACTATGTGTTAACCCACGGCTCCATGCCTGCCTGGGAGGGAAAGGGTGTTTCTCCCTTCCACCTTTTTCCCCCTGGACAGCAAGATGGCAGCCGCCTTGGAACTCTTTGGAAAGCCAGGTATGAGCCAGTGGTGACGGGGCAACTGAAACCTCATGGGAAGGGGGGCATTCCCGGCTCATCGTTTATGCCCTACCGAGGTCACAGGTTGCCCCCCACAAGCGGCTCTCTGGCACAGTCATGGCTCCAGAAGCACAAGGATTTAATGCAGAGCCCGGCAGCTTGTGGCAGAAAAATGAATGGACTATGCGTTAATCCATGGCAGCATGACTCCAGAGCCACAGAAACCAATCTCATAATTATCTTGCTCTCGGCAGAAATACTTCCAGGCTTAATAAGTAAAATATCAGAAATCCAAAATCACCCACGACATCATTTGTTTCTTGTAACCAGTTGTAGAAAACAAATTATTTTACAATGCCTTTTCACCAGGTCTGATTTTGGGGTGTAAACTCTAAACAATAATGTTGCATCTTTTGTCGAAACAATCAATCTAATCTAATCTAATCTAGCACTAGATAGAGTGCTAATTAGAATTCATCTGCTACACAGGCATTGGGAGGGGTGGAAGGGGGGTATATTGGGGTTCTTGGTGGTGAAAAGTAAGTACTGGTGAAGGGAAATGTGTTTAATCGTTTCATGACCGAGACTTAAACCTGAAAGCTTTGTAACTTTTCCCACCGTGATTCAATAAATAAAAAAAAAACCAATCCACTAGATTTTTACTGTAATATCAACAAGAAAAATTAAAATATTACTAAGCCTATCTTGTGACTTTGTAACATAAAAAATATCTAACAAGTGTCCCCTTGAACAGGTATTGTGCTTGCTGGTCTGTTTCTTTTTTTTTAAATTAATTATTATATATATTTTTTTTTATTAGTGAAACACCATGAGGTACAGTTGTAGATTTACAATTTTTTGTGCTTGGGTTTCGATTATACAATGATCAGATACCCATCCCTCCACCAGTGCCCATTTTCCACCACCATGGATAATATCCCTCCACCCCCATCCCCCCCTGCCTCTGTGGCAGGGCAATCCCCTGTGTTCTCTCTCTCCTTTTGGGTGTTGTGGTCTGCAAAAGAGGCATTGAGTGGCAAACATGTTCAGTCCATAGTCCACTTTCGACATGCATCTCCCCTCCTGGGAGGATCCTCCTATAAGGATACCCATGACATTCTTCAAAGAAATGGAGCAAACACTCCTGAAATTTATATGGAACAATAAGCCCCCACGAATAGCTAAAGCAATTCTTGGGAAAAAGAAAATGGGAGGAATCAACCTCCCTAACTTCAAACTGTACTACAAAGCAGTAATAATTAAAACAGCATGGTACTGGAACAAAGGCAGAACTGCAGACCAGTGGAACAGGGTTGAATACACTGACATCTCCCCTCAATCATATGATCATCTAATCTTTGATAAAGGTGCAAGTAATGTGAAGTGGAGTAAGGAAAGCCTCTTTAATAAATTGTGTTGGCATCACTGGACGGCTACATGCAAAAAAATAGGCTCAGAACTCTGCCTAACACCATGTACAAAAGTAAGATCAAAATGGATTAAAGACCTCAACATCAGACCAGAAACCATAAGGTACATTGAAGATAAAGTTGGCAAAACCCTCCATGACATTGAAGCTAATGGTATCTTCAAAGATGCCACGCCACTGGCCGAGCTGGTCTGTTTCTTTGCTTGCATTATTTCCAACAGGAGAAGCCTGGGTACTCCATTGAATACATTTACTCTTTGCTTCCTCTCACATCTTTCTAAGCAAGTTTCATTCAATAAAAACTACCTTGGGGCCAGAGAGACAGTAGAGCAGGTAGAACGTTCACCATGCCAAACCAGGTTCTATCCCCAGCACTCCCTGGGCCCACCAACAGTGATTCCTAAGTGCAGAGTCAGGAATAAGATCTTAGCACTGCTGGGTGTGTCCCCAAAACTAAAAAGATAAAAGGTAAAACTACCTTGCTTAACTTAAAAGAAAAAAAAACTAGAAATATCATGAAAATTCATACTTACTTTCCAGGAAAGTTTTATAATATCGTACAATGTTGGGATGATAAAGCTATAAGAAAAGATATGAATACACATTACTCTACATCAAAACCCAAACTTGTTTTATAGACAACGTCGTTAGCCTATTTGAAAACGACAAAGAAATGATAGCATTTATTTATAAATGCTAGTTATTTATAATGATAGCATTTATTTATAAAACTAAACACAAAAGATATTATCTGAATTTTTTCTTATTTGCCACTTAAAAAACTGATCTGAAAGTAGCCATCTCCTCTATAGCCTTATGTATCAAATTTATTGAAATTTTTCAAGCTGATTATACTTTATCACCTAATTGAGTAAAACAGAAAAATGTATACCTGAAAAGAAACTTAATAAATTATTTTGCCCTCCCGGTCCCCACAGTGCAAAAAGATGGCATGAAGACTAAAACTCAGTTAGAGCAGTTCATGCTGAATACATGAAGCCCATATTTTTTACCTCACTCTGCCACTCCACCACTTATAAAGCTTGTACTATTATTATCTATGAATATTTGCCCCACTTAAAGCACAATAGTTGACACAGACTACCTCTGTGATCACTCATCTCTGATCTTCTTGACTAAGATTCATCTAGTCCACCTAGCTTCAGCAGGAATCCTGTTGCTGGTTTATATACTGTGATAACTATTTTTGCAATATATACAAATATCAAACATAATGTTTGTTACATTGCACACCTAAATTAATATATTGATTTTATCTCAACTTCTAAATGTGAAGAGTAGTTTGACAGGAATTTATTCAAAGACTGCACATATAAAATCCTACTTGGGTAGTGGATTTTTCTTTTTTAAGGCATCTTTTTCTACATGTACAATAAAATTCTGATAGGGGGATGAGTTTCTAAGTAAATCAAAATTGTTCTTTATTTCATATTGGTCATCATTCCACTTGAAAATCCCTTGCTGCTCCCTTGGGTCTTTTTCTTGTCTTTCTGAAGGGCTGTATGCCTGCTGTGTGCTCTGAAACAGAGCATGTGGCTCCTGGAGTACATCTCTCCCCTGCCCTGTAGCCACAGGAGGACGCCATCACCAAGAGTGTGTGGAGATATAGGTGCTTAGGAACAGAAACAAGGAGCACCACCCACCAAACGCCTCCTCTCCAAAGCCCAGATATGAAGGTGCCTAAGGCAGTTCCAACCCTGCCAAAGAAGACAACAACCCAGCAGGTTGCAGAGCAATCAGAGGAACAGAGAACACTGGCCACCTGGTCTGCTCATTCTCAGCCTCTTGCACTAAAGAGAAATAGCCTGAAGTGCTGGGGGGCCTCTTTTAAAGCCTTTGTGTTCCAGAGCACCTTCATTAGTGAAGCTTAATCTTCATCTTAACAAATCTACACTCGCATCCCATGCTCCAGCTTCTGTCAGTTCTTCCACCGAGGCCTCAATGTTGCAATGTTGTGGATTAACCTTTCCATGGATTCAATGTCTGAGAGTGCAGTCTGAGTTCTACAGTACTGAATTATCTCCAAGTCCAAGCCCCTTATCTGTGACCACCAAGAAACTTGCTTTTCTTCAGAAAAGCTCTAAAAGAAATGGTTCACCTCATCGAATAGAACGTGGCCCAGCAGACTTTACATGTGGAACCTGGCTAAGTCACCAGAGCAATATTCTGGCTCCTAGATCGATCACTGGACTATATCAAGATGAGGGTTCCTTGAAGATCTCTGATCATAAGGTTAGAACCATGCTTGATAATGAAGCAAGATTCTTCTACACATGAGCAAATGAATAACTTTAAAATCTAGTCTATCAGTACATAAAAGTTAATCTTACAACTATTAAAGTTAGTATGTTCTATAATTCATAAAGGTAAAGGTAAAGGCCCTCCCATTGATCGTCGATTTGCTCGAGCGGGCCCAGTAATGTCTCCATTGGAGACTTTGTTGTTACTGTGTCTGGCATATCGAATACTCTCGGTAGCTTGCCGGGCTCTCCGAGAGGGGCGGAGGAATCGAACTCGGGTCGGCCATGTTGGCCGCTTGTAAGGCGAATGCCCTACCCGCTGTGCTATAGCACACAGCAGGTAGGGCGTTCGCCTTACAAGCGGCCAACATGGCCGACCCGAGATCGATTCCTCCTATAATTCATGAACTGTATTTTTTCTGAATAAAGATTATCATGGTGGTCTTTATGTTCCAACACAGAAACTGCAAGCCAAACAAGTGGGGACAAGGAGATGAGAAGCTAAGAGCTCTCCATACGAGTTATAAATGAACAGTATCCAGAATTAATGCACAAATAAGGAAAGCTAGAAAAGAAGTCAGTGTGTTCTTGGATCACAAAAAGAAATCCTATTCTCTTCTGACATGTTTATGCTTTCTCCCCAAACAAACCCTCATAATGATCCTTAATTGAGTCATTACATTATGTCAGAAGATTCAGCTTATGCCAATAACCCATCTTGAAAATCCACATTTCAGATTTAATAAGTCACATTTGAGGAATGTTAACAGCTTGGTTTGACTTGACAAAAAGTCAGGGAACATTTTTAGCTGTATACTTATGCATGTTACTAAGTAACCAAATATTCTAAAATATAACAAGAAGGAAATGGATATGCTTACAAGGAAAAAATGATTTAGTGCCTATTATGTACTCTGTGCAGTACACATCATCATGTGCTCATCCCTGGTCCTAATATAAACTGCAAAAAATTGTTCCTAAGGTTCAATGTCATGCATTAAGAAAAAAATTGCTAAAATATCAGACTTCACTGTGAATTATTTTAATAGAGCCAGTTATTAAATAGCAGGGACTGACAGCACTGAAAAAAACTATTTTCAATGACATTTAATGAAAGCATCTTAGTGAACAAAAAATTACCTGCTCTTTAATTATGGTTAATTCAGAAACAATATTCTTCACACTGCTGTCTCGATCTTTTTTATCCTTCCCAAACGCTGGATTGTGTAAATTAACCTCTTTCATTGCTAAAAGATTTTGACCACTACGTTTTCTAACCTAAAATGGATCAAAAACAAAGAAACCAAAGAGAAAAAAAATGGGGTGGTGGTGGAGAAAAAAGGAAAAATTATATTAGTAAGACCATATGATAAAACCGAGTCTGAAAATAAGTCAACGTCTAAAATACTATCTGTATTTATGTTAATTTCATCTCAGAAGCTTGATATGTCCTTTGACTGTACAGTATTCAGTAGAATTGCATTTGAAAATATAGATATCCTGGTATCAACTTGAAGAACATGTTATCCACCAGGGCAGGCCATTTGACTACTTTTTGTGAACGATTAATGACAGCTTTGTTTTCAAAATCAGTGAATAATTTCTAGAGCTGAGAGATAGATAAGACAATACAGTACAGCTATCTATTAGGAAAAGAGCATTCTACTTTTTCTATTTGTTCACTGTTTTTCAGTGTCAGGGGCTCTAGATCAAAGGCAGGAGGTGTATAAATAGAACATCTGGTTTCTTGGGGAAGATTAGATTGCTGTTTACTAATAGAGAGTCACCTTGTAAACACAGCCAAATGCTCCACTTCCCAGATGGTCCAAAATTGCATAGTTGCCTATGTATTTTGAAGGCGCTTTATTCTGATTAATGCTTTCAATATTTTCTGCAATTTGCTTTAGTTCATCCTCCTATCAAAAAACCAGCAAGAAAGAAACAGTTTGCTCAGGTAAGCTTCATCCCAACTACATACTATCTACCCACTACCAAAATATGACTTACCACTAGTAAATTCAATTTTGATACCAATTCTTGGTAAGCACTGATGTCCCGAACATAGTGTCCTATGTCAATGAAGATCTCAAACAGGTCGGTAGGGAAAAGCCTATGGGGAGAAATACATTCACTAATGTGGAACTTGAAAGTGGTAGCTTATTCTTTCCCTTTTGGATTTAGCTCTTCACAGACTAAGTATGCTATACAAACTCCCTTCAGTTAACAATATGGGGGGGGGGGAGGGAAATAATACCAACTTATCTCATATGCTTATATGATAAAAAAAAAAAACCTAACTAGACCTAGTAGAGTTCTCTAGGGATAGAATAAGGAAAACAAATGGAAGGAAAAGTTATAGAGCCCTTATAATGTTTGGCTTATGAAGTTAACAAACTATAGTATGTGCACATGAAAACATTTCCCCGGAGCAATGCCAGGAGTGATCCCTGAGTTAGAGGCAAGTCCTAAGCACATCTAAGGTGTGCCCACCCTCCCCCCAAACAAACAAATGTATATTGCAGGGGATGTGGCTCAAGAGATAAAGCACATGACTTGCATGAGTGAACCCCTGGGTTCAATAACCAAGCACTGTCAGGTCTGTCATCTAGAACAATAAAAAAAGATTAAAAATAAAAATAAATAAGGGCACCTATCATCATAAAGGGTACCTATCAGCAAACAAACAAATAGATGTAACAGGTAAGGTAAGGTAAAGGCCCTCCCGTTGATCGTCGATTTGCTCGAGCGGGCCCAGTAACGTCTCCATTGGAGACTTTGTTGTTACTGTGTCTGGCATATCGAATACTCTCGGTAGCTTGCCGGGCTCTCCGAGAGGGGCGGAGGAATCGAACTCGGGTCGGCCATGTTGGCCGCTTGTAAGGCGAACGCCCTACCGCTGTGCTATCGCTCCAGCCCGATGTAACAGATATTATATAAACGCCTCATGTTTATTTGTAGGATATTTGGGGTTACAGATATTAAGTATTTAGAAAGAAAAATTAATGGATCTTTATTGATTATAGGTCAATTTCACAAATGTGAGTCAGGCCTCATATTAACCATATGAGACAAATCTGAACCTAACTTTTCAATGTCTTATGAAAATAAATAAAAAATAGTGGCAAATGAAAACTATGGAGACATTCATACATTATTTCTAAGGTACTGATTTCAAGGGTTTACTTGCTATCAAGAATCTACAAAAATGGATGGTTTAGGACCCTCAAAGGAATAACTATAATGAGAAACTATGCTCCTTTTTCTTCCCCTAAATTCCAACATCATGTGGAAATAGTGAGAAAAAATGTTTCATGGTTTTGAAAAACAATTAAAAAAGATTGTTTCAAATAAATCCTTTATTCCTATTTTCCTTTCTCAATGAAGCCCTAGTAAGAACTGGAGTCTGTGATACTGGCTAACCAGTCCAACCAAATGGCATCCCGGACACAGAGGTAGATACTACCAACTGCTTCCCATGGTCTTAATTTTCTGTCCTGCTCACAGGCACAGACTCCGACCCAAGAACATGCAGACTCCTCTTCTGCAAATGGGTTCCAGCCCTTCAGGGCATATCCAGACAAAACCCCTTTATTTGTATTGATTCAGAAGAAACGTCTAGATTAACTTTGGAATTTTGAATGGGCAAAAACAAGCACATATTTTTATGTTATTGATAATTTCTGTCTCAAAGAAAAACTACTAATTACGAGAGATAGCACAGCGGTAGGGCGTTTGCCTTGCACGCAGCCAACATGGCCTACCCGAGTTCGATTCCTCCGCCCCTCTCGGAGAGCCCGGCAAGCTACCGAGAGTATCTCGCCCACACGGCAAAGCCTGGCAAGCTACCCGTGATGTATTCCATATGCCAAACACAGTAATAACAAAGTCTCCAATGGAGACGTTACTGGGCCCGCTCGAGCAAATCGATGAACAACAGGAGGGCCTTTACCTTTACCTTTTACAAATCTCCAGAGTCACAGTTAAAAGACCATAAAAATAATAAAGTGGGTTGGGGGCTTGTCTTGTACTCAGCTGACCTCCATTAGATTCCTGGCACCCCTTATCATCCCTCAAGCACTTCTAGGAGTGAATTATGAATGCAGAGCAAGGAGTAAGCTCTGAGTGCAGAGCCAGGAGTGAGCTGTGAGTGCAGAGCGAGGAGTAAGCTCTGACTGCAGAGCCAGGCATAAGCTCTGAGCACCACTGGGTGTGCCTGCCTTCCCCCCAAAAGAGGAGTCACAGTTAATTAAGGGGTGCTGTATTGATAGAGTGACTCATGGTCTTTCATCATCATTTAATTCTCAGTTTTAAAATATCACTAAGGTAGCTCTGGTGGAGCTGTAGAAGTCTGAAGCCATGTGTCTTGCATACTGATTCATTCTCCTACCGCTTGCATCTAAATCCGGGATGTGGAAGCAGTTCCAGGTAATATACCTCAGTCACTAACATTTCTCCAAGCCCTTACCTTTTAAAGAGTGGTCTGTTTCTTTCCATACTGAAGAGGAACCTCAAAGCTCTGAAAGCGTAACACTGGAAAATAAGAAGATACAGGATTCTAAAATGGCACTTCATCCAATCCAAACATTTCAGAGGACTGGAAGAATGAATTCACGGCTAAAAGCACCTGCCCTGAGGGTGTGTGGCCATAAATCCAATCCCTGGTGCCACCCCTGAGCCTGGCATGGTCCCAGGGGCACTGCTGTCTGCCACCCTCAGCATTGCAACAGACTGCACCCTCTTTGGTGTGTAGCCAGGGGTATGCAAGCACAGCAACTGAAGTGTGAAATCCCCAGCCCTCACCACAAAGGGAAATGGGTGAGCATTAGGCCAGGAGTGCTACTTCCAGCAAACACGTGAGTGAGAATGAACCAGACTTTGTTCAAGCCCCTGGCAAGCCCCGCAACTAACAGCATGAGCCCTGGTGAGCACTGAGGGAAAGTGTGTGTGAGCAACACAAGCAGATGTGCAGCCCCCAGAGAGCACTACAACCAAGTGTGTGAGCACCCCAGCCAGGTGTGTGCAACCCCCAGGCATCACAACAAGAGAGGGAGGAGAAGGGGGGGGCTGTTTTCAGTACAATATCCTGGTGGTGAAGCGAACCTCCAAATGGCTTTATTAGGCATCAGTGACCCCACCTGGCAGCCAAAGCCATAAACGAAAATTTTAAAAGGAAAATAAAAATCAACACCTGGATCACTCTTGTCTTTTAAAGTGTTCAGGTAGTTTGGAAGGGCTGGGGATTTACTTGACTATATACTTTACTCCCTACTTGTCACTAATTCCTCTCTAAAACAATACAAAAGGAACACGGGGACAAGAAGTAGAGTAGATCTGCTGAGAAAGGCCAAATGCGGAGCAAGCGCCTGGAGCTCCCCGTGCAGAACGCTTACTGCATAGTGCAGGCCTCTACATTTATAGAGTTTCTGTGAGAAAATAAACACGAGGAATGATGACATATAAAAATAGCCACCAGCACACTGGACTCAAACTTGACAAATTGGTCTCTGGAGTAAAGAGTCTTAAGCAGTCCCCAAATAGAACAATCGACAGTAACTCTCGAGAACACTCTGAAAGGCCTGTGAGACTTTAACGAAGAAAAATAAACATCTGACATTTTGCAGTGCGAAGAGAAAAAACAAAACAAAAAAAGACCCTGGCCTTCTGTGGCACCTGAAACACAGGCCACCAAGACAGGGACCAAAGCTGCTGGATTTCTGAACTGAAAGTCCAAAACTTAGTAACCTGAGTAAGAAGCCTCAGAAACAAAATGGTCCCAAGAAGGCAGGAGGCAGGCAAATATGAAAATGGCAGGAAGGAGTCTGGGTGAAGGAGAAGGACCAGTGAGGAAGTAGAGAGCAAGCGTGCATCAAGAAAGCCCTTTCCAGCCCTGAGAGGTAGTACCGCCAGTAAGGTGCTTGCCTTGCACAAGGTCAGCCCAGGCTTATTCCTAGTGCAACTAATGATTCCTCAAGCCACCAAGAGTAACCCATGAGCACAGAACCAGGAACAAGCCCTGGGCACTGCTGGGCTGGATGTGGTTGGAAAACAAGGGAAGGAAAGAAGGGATGGAGGGAGGGAGGGAGGGAGGGAGGGAGGGAGGGAGGGAGGGAGGGAGGGAGGGAGAAAGAGGGTAGAGAAGGAGAAGGGAAGAGAAAGAAGGGAGGGAGGGAGGCAGGGGGAAGGGAGGGAGGGAAGAAGGAAGGAAGGAAGGAAGGAAGGAAGGAAGGAAGGAAGGAAGGAAGGAAGGAAGGAAGGGGGAGGAAAGGAGGGAGGAAGAAAGTGAGAGAGGAAGGGAAGGGAGGGAAGGGAGGGAGGGAATGAAAGAGAAAGTGAAGGAAGGAAGGAAGGAAGGAAGGAAGGAAGGAAGGAAGGAAGGAAGGGAGGGAGGGGGAGGAAAGGAGGGAGGAAGGAAGTGAGGGAGAAAGGGAGGGAGGGAAGGGAGGGAATGAAAGAGGAAGCGAAGGAAGGAAGAGAGGGAGGGAGGGAGGGAGGGAGGGAGGGAAAAGGGAGAGAAGTAAGGAGGAAGGAAGGAAGTGAGGGAGGAAGGGAAGGAATGGGAAGGAGGGAGTGAAAGAGGAAGGAAAAGAAGGAAGAGAGGGAGGGAGGGAGGGAGGGAGGGAGGGAGGGAGGGAGGGAGGGAGGGAGGGATTCTCTCCTGACTTCACAAAATGCATCTACCAGACAGCTGCTTGTCAGTGTCAGGCATCCATCGCACCCTCAAGAATCCAGTTTCACACCTGGAAGTTCCCATCTGTAGGACTCCAGGACTCCTGCCAGGCCCCACATCTCCCTGCCAGATTTGTCCCTTGTTGGGGGTGAGCTGGGGAACGAGAAAGATTGGAAACTGGCGCTGCATTGTTTCTTCTTTTCTTTTCTAAATGACTTGGTGAAGGAGGAGCCGCGAGTGCTGCATGTTGCAGAAGCCGACTTAAACTCTGATTTCATCATTGCAGCATCTCTGGGGACAATAGCCTCCTGACACCCATGCCTCAAAAAAGCACAGAGAAGTTGGCCTGATGGGCCCTCATCCTCCCTGAGAAACCTCATTCTCTGAGGCTCTCCCTCCGCCAACCAGAGGTCCCAACCCCACTGAGGGTCTAGGCGGGATCCAAGCTGCCAGGCTTCCACACTTTGCACATGCCATTCCCTCTGCTGGCATGCCCTTCCACCCGCAGCAGGTAGAGCCACTGATGTCCCCAGTCCTTTCTACTTACCCACTTTCCAAGCCCCTTCTTCATCACCTAGGTCCATTTTACAGGCTTTTCTTTGTAAAGGAGAAATCTAAGTGTCCACCATGCTTTAAGAAGGCATTTTCCCCTTTATTTTCATATGCAAGCAATATTTTTTTAAAATAGAACTTCCTGATAAGTAAGGTAACTTACTGTCCCCTAACTCTCTCTGAGGAGAAAAAACTCCTGTTAAGCTTTTTCCTGTCATGTTAAAGCATTCCACCCAAGTCTCCCTCACCAGCACAGAGATCAGTGCTAACCCAAAACCCTAAAAAAAATCATAAAATGATGTTATGAGTTTTCCCCAGAGTCCAAGAGCTTAATTCTAAAACACACACTTATTACCTGTAAGAGATTAGTTTTTGCTGCATTCTTTTGTTTGCTTGGCAAAATTAATTTTGCTATTGTATATACACCATTTTCCTGGAAGAAAAAAGAGGTTCATGTTAGCAGAAGCCAGGAATAATGCCACAGAAATTCACAAGTGCAGAGAAGCAGCTAAGCAATCTCAAGGTAAAATATGAAAAAAATGTTCAATTAACTTTGGATTAAGTAAATATTACAGGATAATATTAGGAAATATTAATGTAAATTTTTAAGCATCAAAGACTACTACCACTACCTTAAATTTTCAACTATCTTTAAAGAGTCTATTTTATGTAATAAAATGTCAAGTTTGAATGGAAAAAAGAAATGAAGAAAAGAGACAGAGTTAAATTATCCTATTTTCTTTCTTCTTTGTTTTTAAAATGTCAAATTATTAAATACAACTTTCTCATTACTATTTTGAAAACTAAACAATACAATTATTTTAAAATAGAAAATAAAGTCAATAAGATTAAAAATAAAGTCATTAGAGTATAAAACAACATAACACGAGACTGACACCTAAGGATAGTAGATACACGGGACAGATAGATTGCTCCATAGCTGGAAGCCTGCCTCATGAGTAAAGGGGAGAAGACAGCTGGAACAGAGAAGGGATCGCTAAGAAAAAGATGGCTGGAGGAATCAGTCAGGATGGAAGATGTGTGCAGAAAGTGGATAAAGGATTAAACATGGTAACCTCTCCGGGTGTCTATTGCAAACCATAATGCCCAATGCCCAAAAGTAGAGGTAGATTATGGGGAATCATTTCTGTCATGGAGGCAGGGGGAGGGTGGGAAAGGGGGGGCATACTGGGATATTGGTGGTGGGGAATGTGCACTGGTGGAGGGATGGGTGTTTGATCATTGTGTGATTATAACCCAAACGTGAAAGCTTGTAACTATCTCACGGTGATTCAATAAAATTTTTTAAAAGTCAAAAAAAAAAAAAAGTAGTCAGGAAAGCACAAGAAAGTATGAGACTCAAAATGAAAAAAAGACAGACATGACCGAAATGAGGAACATAGTAAGGTGATATAGAATTCATTCATACACCTATCAGTGTGCATTTGGGTATTTACCATATCCAGGCTATATGTTAAGTGCTACAATAAACATAGGTGTGCATATATCTTTTCTAATTAATGTTGTTGTGTTTTGGTGGTAGATAACAAAAAGTGGAACCACTGGAATTATAGGGTTTCTATTATTACTATTTGAGGAATACACTGTGAGGTGCAGTGATTTTGTACACTGTAATCATCTTTTTATTGCAATCATCTTATATAACTATAAAAATAAAAAACATTTATTTCCCCTGACATAAATGATTTATTTATAACATAAAAAATAAAGCCATTAATGAAAATAGTTAGGAACTTTTCAGACTTATTCTAATATACAAATAAAAGAGTGAATCAAAAGTACTCATTTACTACTACTTTTCTCCATTAACTGTATCATTCATTGAAATCCACCCCATGTGAGCATTTTGGACTCTAAGAAGCTTTACCTCCCTTATAGTATTCAGCTCTTTCAATTATTCTATGAATTAGTCTATGATTTCCTTATTTTATACAAAAGAGAAAAACAAAGCATAGTATATAGTGGGCTGATTAGTTATGGGCTATAAATTGTTTCTCGGCAATAACTATTTCATTTGGTGTGTCTTGATCACCTCTAGCTGACAAAGCTGACAAATGCTCTATAAATTCTAATTGAAGTGACTAGTTAAAGTCACTGCCATCCATAACTTAGTTTTCAATATGTTCAGAATGCAAGGAATCCAGAATAGCTTTTGTTCATTTGTTTTGTTCATTCGGGACACAACTGCTGTGTGAAGGTGCTCAGGGCTTATACCTGCCTCTGTGCTCAGTGATCACTCCTGACGGTGCTCAGGGACCATATGGGATTCTGGGGATGAAAACAAAGTTATCTGCATGAAAGGAAAGTGCTCTGCATGCTGTACTATCTCTCTGGCTCCCATAAAGGTTTTTAATAAAAATGTGTTAAGGATGTAGATTTGCTCGAGCGGGCCCAGTAACGTCTCCACTGGAGACTTTGTTGTTACTGTGTCTGGCATATCGAATACTCTCGGTAGCTTGCCGGGCTCTCCGAGAGGGGCGGAGGAATCGAACTCGGGTCGGCCATGTTGGCCGCTTGTAAGGCGAACGCCCTACCCGCTGTGCTATCGGGCGTTCGCCTTACAAGCGGCCAACATGGCGACCCGAGTTCGATTCCTCCGCCCCTCTCGGAGAGCCCGGCAAGCTACCGAGAGTATTGGATATGCCAGACACAGTAACAACAAAGTCTCCAGTGGAGACGTTACTGGGCCCGCTCGAGCAAATCGACGATCAACGGGAGGGCCTTTACCTTTTACCTTTTAAGGATGTAGATCTTGGTGAAGTATATACTTCCCCCTGTACAAACCCTTGAACTCAACCCCTAGCACCAAAAACAGTTTTTAAAAATGAAAAAGATGCACATAGTATAGGCAAGAAGAATCATCAGTTAATCACATCTCAGTTTTTTTCTATGCCAAGAGAGTTAAATAGAGAATGGGCAGGAATATGAAATGGAATTCTATAACTTGATAATATATGTTCCTGGATGTCTGATTATCAGCATCATGATTATCAACACCATGTTTATCATTATCAACATCATGATTATCAATATCATGTTCCTGGATGTTGATAAGATGTGTTCCTGGTGCAAGCAGACGCCATTGGACTACACTAGCACATGACAGGGATGAATGGAGACGTTACTGGCATCCACTTGAGCAAATCAATGAGCAATGGCATTACAAGTAATACAAGTAATACAAGTGATAAGACATTAAATAAGCCAAAAAGATATTAAATTTAATATGAAAATATTTTATGAATAAAACAAATGAACTAAGAAATCACGATACAAATACTACTTTGGGACTGGAGAGACAGAATAGAAAGTAGGGTCCTTGCCTTTTAAGCTGGGTCCAATTTCTAGCACCACATATGGTCTCCTGAATCTCACCAGAAATGATTCCTGAGCACAGAGTTGGGAGTAAGCACTGAGCATAGCAGGCTGTGCATCACCCCCCCCCGAAAAATACCCTTATTCTATATCATTTATTCTATATCATTCTAACAAATATAAAGGTTCTTACCCTACCATTGATGGAATGAAGGTGGGTGGGATGGAGAGGGTCAGTCTGATAATGGGACTGAACTAACCTTGGGCAGCGGATGCAGTAAGGCTTATGCACAGGAAAAGGCCTAAAGCTATACTCCTGAGAAGTGTGCAGTGCTGGAAACCAATAGAAAAACAACTGCTTTTCTTTCTTATTTTTTTTCACTAGAACAGTTTTAAATCAGGTGGTGCTATCCCACTGTTCTGGAAAACAGAACTTGGCTGGAGGTAGGTGAGGCAGTCATGGTTAGTTATCACTGTTATGGAACCCCACCTCGAAGAGTCGTGTTCTCACCTGAACCACCTGGTGGGCATTGGTGTCATTGAGAGCCAGTTCCGTGAGAGCAGCACAGCAGGCTGGGAGGAAAAAAACCAAAGATCACTAAGCCTGCACTTTTATACTGTTACATCAGCCTTCTCATTCCACAGAGGAGAATGCTAGCCATTTTCCAAAACACCGATTTTCCTTCTAGATCAGATAAGAGAAGGCAAAATGAATTTCAATGGTGTTAACACATAGAATTTCTGTGCATTAACCCCCTCTCAACACACACACACACACACACACACACACACACACACACACACACACACACTGCCTCCCATTCCTGCAGTACCAATCTTTACTGAGAACTTACTATAAAACAGAAGCAGGGAATACATATACCTAGCTCATTGTGATATCCAGTGCCCAACATCTCCCTGGCACTTAGAAGATGCTCAGTAATAGAATGGCTGTAGCACTGTAGCACTGTCATCCCACTGTTCATCAATTTTCTCGAGCAGGCACCAATAACGTCTCCATTGTGAGACTTGTTGTTACTGTTTTTGGCATATTGAATACACCATGGGGAGCTTGCCAGGCTCTGCCATGTGGGCAGGATACTTTCAGTAGCTTGCTCTCCGAGAGGAATGGAGGAATCAAACCTGGGCCGGTCACATGCAAAGCAAATGCCCTAGCCGCTGTGCTATCGCTCCAGCCCCATAGAATGGCTATCCAGTTAAACAAGCTACTCCAGTCTTACCTTCCTGATTAAGAATACTGAATGCTCTGAACAAACACAATGACCTCTTAGTACCTACATTGCAAACCGTAAGGCACAACAGGAGAGAGAGAAAGGAAAAAAGTGTCTCCCCTAGAGGTCAGCTGGGGGATAGCGGAGGGAAATGGGGGACATTAGTGGTGGGATGGGGGTTTGGATCATTGTATGACTATGACTAAAACCCAATCATGAACAGCTTTGTAATGGTCTATCTCATGAATATTCAATAAAAATATTTCTTTTAAATAACAGAATGGCTGAATAAATGAGTACTTTCAATATATTGTCCTCATAGTCAGAGTATTACTATCACCATGAATGTGTGCTTTTTCTCTTTAACCATGAGAAAGATGAAGTCTGGATGAATTAGTAGAGTAGGATTCTAACTCCAGTCAACCCAAGATCTAGGTCCTGATCCCTTGCCCTTCCCTGTCTCTTTACTACCCCTGGGGGAGACAGTGGTGGCATATTTTGTTCATGTCAGCTGCTGCTTGTCTGACAGACCCTACAAGTCCTGGGATCCTACGACACAGTCGAGCTCTAAAGGACTATGCCATTTTATCGAGCCCTTGCCACTGGCCCAGCATCGAGCTTAATACTCTGCACGTATCCTCAGCTAATTCTCAACAGCAGTCCTCTCACAGGTTCTGTGAGGATCACCACCATCATCCACGAGCAAAAATGAGGCTTGTAAGGGCTGGAGCAATACACAGCGGGTAGGGCGTTTGCCCTGCACACGGCAGACCCAGGTTCAATTCCCAGCATCCCATATGGTCCCCCGAGCACCACCAAGAGTAATTCCTGAGTGCAGAGCCAGGAGTAACCCTGAGCATTGCCGGGTGTGACCCCCCCCAAAAAAAATTAGGCTTGTAGATGTCAAGGTCACATGGCCACCAGTTTTGGACACACCCTCTAGTATGACCAAAACTCAGACCCCACCCGTAGGCCCTCAGGTTTAAATTTTTCATTTAAATTCTCTTTATTGAGGTGTTGGATAAACCATGCAAAGCAGATGCTTAATAATTACACAACTGGATGAACTATCACCTAAGCATACATCCAGTAACCACCATCACTAATGAATGCTTCAGGATATTTCCAGACCCCCGGTGCTGTATAAACACCCTCCCAGACAGGAGCCTCATTGTAACAACCTCCCCAAACAGGCCACTCTCTGACTCCTGTCACTCTCATTTCAGGAGGACTCCATTTCCTGGAGAGCTTTCTGAAAAGAAATTCCTAGCAGGAGCCTCATACTGAGGTCGAGGTCTTTCAGAATAAGCCTACAGAGTCACTGGAGGAGGCAATCCTGTTTCCCTATGAAAAAAATATGTCTCTATTCTCTGGAGAAACCAGTGGGAAAGAAAGGAAGTCTCTTCTCCACCTTTCCCTCTTTTATGCCCTTAACATTGGCTCTTCCACTCTCAGAGGCTGCCTGCCCTGGAGACAGCTACCTGCGGGCCTCTCTACTCCCTGAGTAGCTGCAGGGCAGCCAGCTGGGGCCTAGCCTGTCCCAAAGGCACACACTGTACAAACAGTCAAGATGGCGTCTGTGCATCCTGCTGCTGATGCCACACAGAACAGTGCTCCTCTCTGCAGCTCTCAGGAAGCTGTGAGAAAAGCACTTCCTTGCTCCTGGTGGCACAGGGAAGGTAGACACTTTGTTTAATCTCCTTTGAGGTGGTTGTGTGACTTTTAGACTTCATCAAGAACTGAGATTCTGGCCATGAACCAAGCGGCCTTCTCTACCTCAGTCTTATCAGTCACAAAGCTAATCAACTATTCTATTTGTGCCCAACATCTATATTTGCTGCTCCATGTGGAGGGGGGAGTCTGAGGTCTCCTTAAGCTGACAGTTCCACATTGATGCCAAGAATTTTTTTTTTTACTCTCTCCCACACTGAATGCTTTTCCCACCAGGAATTGAGAAATTCTGATTTACAAAGATGTTCATAATATTGTTGCTTCAGGCATACAATGTTCCAACACCATCCCACCACCAATGTTCCCAGGTTCCCTCCCAACCCACAGCTTGCCCTCTGGCAGCGTTTAACAAGTTTATTTCATGTTACTTGCTCCACTAAAACTTAAGGGAATAGAAAATAAATCAGTAAAAGTCCATTTGTGATGACGGATTGCTATTTGTTTTTAACTTTTCTTAATCTAATAGAAGACAACCATATGCACCATTCAATGAGTGCCACACTCAATGCCACATAGTTAGCAAGGTTCTCCTGTCCTTTAAAGGAGCTCTTTTAATGCTTCTTGCAAAAATGACTTTAAGGCTAAACTGTTGCCTTATCAATGAAGTTCTATACAGTTCCTTCCTCTGTATAGCTGAACAGAGTACTCTTGTTGAAGTGCTCATTTTGTTGAGTTTATGTACTAAACCCTTCCATATTCTTCATTGTCTCTTTTGACTATGCATCTTATGAGCTTTCCTTTGTATATAAATTCCTCTTTTTATTAATCTTTTAATCTTGCTATTTTCAGTATTCAGTCTCTATCTTTGAATTTTGTCATTTTGTGTATAATGTGTCTTGGAGTTTTCTTCATTGGGTCTATGTCTACAGTGTCCCAAGAAATTTCAGATGTCCAACTGGATCTTTAAAATTTAGAAATAACACCTACTTAATACATCATACTGAGAACAAATAAGACCAAAAAAAAAAGCAGCACCACACCAAATAATACCATAATAAGATGATAATAGAAATACCTGCTTGAAGAGAGAAAGTATTTTCTTGTATTTCTCGAGGGCTTAAATCTTCTGACAAATGAAGCTGCTGGATTCGGCCTGCTGCATTTGCACTGGACAGGCTTCCGATGGAAGAACGGTCAGAAACGAAATTTCTATCACTGGAAAAGAAAAGCCAGTGCACAAACCGATGTGTTGATTTTGCTTCATAGCCAGTGATTTCTCTGAGTCCTATTTGAGAAATTCACCTCCACATATCATTAAGTTTTTCCCAGTGTTATACTGCTGTTTCCCTTTCCAGCTCATCTAGAATTAGTGTGTGTGTGTGTGTGTGTGTGTTGTGTGTTGTGTGTTATGTGTATGTGGTGTGAGGCAGGAGCCACTTATTTATTTTTCAACATGGTGAGTGAATTAACTCAGCACTTTTTATTGGAAAAAGACTGACCTTCCCCCAATGTATCCATTCAACCACTTTTATTTTTAAGACCCCTTCTGCTGCAATAAATTCACCTGACTAAATCTCAGTCTTTGTCATGCTGGTTTTTCATATTCCTATTAATTGAAATTTCCCTTTATTTTAGAAAAAAAGTTATCTTCTGCTACATCACTGAACTTTGTTTTCATTCCCTTTGCTTTCATTCCCTGCCTTGAGGTTATCAGTTATTCACATGCTAAAAATTTTTGCCTTTCATTTTCTAATTGATCTCATTCATTTCTTTCCTAGTATAGTTTTTCAAGCCTGTCCTTTTTCTATTAATCCTGATACTCAAACAAAATTATCATGTTTTTGTTATTGCTGGTTTTGTTTTGTTTTAGGGGCTATCACTCTGATCCCCAGAACTATCATTCTATGAATGTTATTCAGTCTCTGTCTTATTTCTTAACTCTGCAGTATCTCCTGTGCCCTATTTATTGTCGTGTCATCTAATTATATAAATTACAGGTTCTTTTTAACAACTTTGATATTTTCTCATTGATTTTTTTTGTTTACATAGCACAATATCTTCCACAACAGTCATTTCTTTTGCTTTTCCTCTTTCATTTGACAAGATTACTATATTTTTTTTTGTTTTGGGGGTCATACCCAGTGCTTCTTACTTACTTCCTGGTTCTGAACTCAGGGATCACTCCTAGTAGAGCTAAAGGAATCGCCAGGTATTAAATCCGGGTCAGTCAGACACAAGGCAAGCACTTTACCCACTGAATTATCGTTCCAGTCCCTAACAAGTTTACCATATTTTAAAAAGTAGTGTTTAAATTTTATTTGGGGGAAGGAGACTTCAAAGGGTGCCATTCTCATTCTCAGTGATAAAGCCAACTGTGCCAGCAATTCCTTTTGATGTCCTAAAGATGTAATGCTGCTCAGGCTTTGCAGTTTCAGGGACCCCAGCAGTGCTCCAGGGCCGCATGTGGCAATTCAGAAAGCCACAAGTGCTGGGGATAAAACATGTGTACTAATCAACAAACTATCTCCTGATCCCTGAACAGTGATTTATTTTTTTACTGCAGCAACTCTATCTGGATTGTTCTGCACCACCCCCACCCTGAGGCATGGATGGAGGCTCCTTTTCTTCTCACCACGGTCATCTGGACCAGTGTGTGCTCAGAGCCACACCAGTAAGTCTGTGAAAGGAAATGATGCCGGGCCTCAGGATACTTATGGTCAGTACTCTCATCCATCAAATGAAATAATTCCAAATCTCAAATGTCAGAGTCACTTCCACCTGATCTTGGAATAGCCCTGGAGCTGGGGTTTGCTGGTGAATGGGCAAGAACAGGTTTTTCTGTAAACTACTCTGACCACAAACAGTACCTATTCATAGTTCATCCAGCAGACAACCCATCTGGACACTCACAACCCCCTGCCCCGTGCCAGTTCCAGGTAGCCTGGGGCAGACCCAAGCTCTGAAAAGATATTGTTGACCCAGCTGAGAGAATAAATTCTCCCAGGGCACAGAGACATATTTAACATGGACCAAATGCTGACATGAAGGAGGAGGTTTGTAATGCTGCACCACAGCAAAGGTCTGGGAAGTGACTCTCTGGACACGAAAGAATTCTGTTCTTTCAAGGACAACCAGGGCTCAAGCAGGACACATGTGTCTTGTTTTAAATTCAGTACTCAGAGGTAAGAAAGGAAGTTGTCTTTGAGCTTAACTTTGAAACAACTTAGTTTCTAATCAAGAAAATGGTTACGTAAGAGGACAACCCATTGCTGTTGTAATAGGTAATAATTATTAACATTAATAACTACCATGGTCATCACCCTAACTCATCTTCATGCCACAAACTCAAAAATAAAAAAAACAATAGCAAAAACTTTGGCAATTATGATTACTTTGATCAAGACTAACATTATGCCACAATAGTAATGAAAAATCTGTAATGATACCTCAAAACATCTGTAACTTTTGTGGGATGCATATAAAAGCAAATAATAAATATTCTATAAATTATCTTCCTTTGTCTTGCTAATGATATAAATGACTTTAAAAGCTACTATTCCTGATTCTATAATCTGTTCCTAATCTATGAAATGCTCCCCAAGAAAATTTAGCTGATAACTCCAAATCCCATAATAGCCTTGATGTATAACAAATATGCCTTTATAGTAATGTTTTTATAAGATCTAATCATATTAAAATTTGTGAGTCACTTTGCTTTAATAGAGTGAGGTTTTTAATGTTGTATAGAATATAAATATGATCCCCTTCGGGGGTCTCCTCATTACTTTCCTGTCTCAGCCCTCATATGACTAAATTATGTTTTATAAAAGTATGAAGTCACAAAATTTACTCACTGATGGTATCAAAACATGCTGTTTAGTACTTCAATATATCTCAGACATAAAGTATAGCAGTTATCTAAACATGTTTCAAAAGAACTTCAATTTGAAATTATTTTGGCAATTCACTTCTATTCCCCATTCACCCAGCTTTGAAAGTCACTAAAATTCTATTTTTTTTAAAGTATTTACTCATTTAATTATAGTTTTTGGTCAGGGTAGACCTAATGGTCTGCAATGCTGAGGGGACCATAAAACATTGGGGGGACCTTTCAAAGCATGAGCTCCAGCAATTTGAGTCATTTCCCCAGCTAGAATTCCACTTTTAAAAGTGAAATAATAAGACGTTAACCCAACTCTGAGGACTATAGTGAAGATTAGAGCAACTACATATCAGCTAGACCACAGTTAGCAGCATGTGACCATTTGAGTAATGCTACCTTTAACTTGGGATTCTACATCCGTTCCTTGACTATAAGCTTTGATTTCTCCTTATTACCTATACGTACTTGCATACACTTTAGTGGAATATTATTAACTGTTGCACATGTTGGTTTAACATGAACACAGTGATTCAAGGAATAGCAGCAAAATAAATGTCTTCTTTGGGTGACTGATTTCTTTTCTACAAACATTTCCTCCATTCCTAGCACTGGTAATAACACAAGGCAAATATATCAAGACTCCCAAGAAACTTAAAAGACAAATGCAAATGCCCTGACACTGATTTAAAACATGTTTGTGACAAGTGTGAATGACAAAGTATAAATGACCGAGCAAACTGTAAATGATGAAACAAATCTCAGAGTAGTAAAAAGTGAGTTCAGCTTATACCCATGTCTATCTGTGATTGTGCAGAGTAGGCCAAATCCGACTCCACTCACCCTCGTAAAATATGAAGAAGCTGTTTGATGCCTCCCCAAATGCGAATTTCCACGCTGGTCTCAGGGTCCTCACAAACCTGAACCAGAATCCAGACGACACTCCAGAGCAGCTTCAGGTGATCCGAATGGAGGAGACTGAGCAGCACGGGGATGCCCTCGTAGAGCTTCACCTGCTCTTTTACTTGGGGCTCAGCACAAAGTAGGCGCAGCAACTCTGCAGTCAGCCTAAGGGGAGGGGAGAGGGGGACAGTCACAGCATGGTGGGCTGTGGTTTTCTTTCTTTTTTCTTTTTTTCTTTTCTTTTTTTTTTTTTTTGCTTTTTGGGTCACACCCAATGATGCACAGGGGTTACTCCTGGCTCTGCACTCTGCACTGGCTGTGCTCAGGGGACCATATGGGCTGCAGTTTTCAATGGCCATCTCTGCACACCCTGGAATGCAGATTTTCTGCAAAGGGCTGTAAGACAGCTAAGTTTTTCAGCTTTACTGGTCATACAGTCTCTGTCACAATTACCCAACCATGTCAACACAAAATAGAAAGCAGACCTGTAAAGAATGGGCATGGCCGCCTTCCCACTTGTCTTTATTTACAAAAACAGGCAGTGGGTCAAATTTAGCCTGTGAGTCAATTTTCTGACCACTGTACAAGTCATCTTCCCATTGGGTCCCCAATGTTGGTTGAATACTGACTATCCAGCAAGTTGGTGTCAAGTACATACAATGGGGCCAACACTGAGCTCCAGGATGAAAGAAATACAAAAGCCTTATTCAATGTGTGCTTGCAAAACAAATGATCAAAACATTATGATGCAAGAGAATTAAGTATAAAAGTGCACAGGGAGTATTTGGAGAACAAATTACAAAAAAATCATACTAAGGTACTGCTGAACTCTAGAACATAATAATGATAAATGGGCTTTTATTTGGGGGGCTTTTTGTTTGTTTTTTGGGCTACATTCAGCAGTTTTTAGGGCTCACTCCTGATTCTGCACTCAGAGAGCACTCCTGGTGGGCTTGGGGGACCACATGGGATGCCAAGGATCAAACCCAAGTCAGCCATGTGCAAAGTAAATGCCTTACCTGCTGTACTGTTGCTCTGGCTGCTAAAGATAAATATTTTTCTGGAATAACTCTGAGTCCTCCTGTCTCAACTTTGTGTTCCCATGGTGTCAGACCCTCTTTTTACCCTGGCATCATGAGATCTACCCAGAGATCACTCCCAACCTCCACACCTTCTAGCCACACAGCTATCCCACAAGTATCTAATATCCCTCTGTCTAAACTCAAAGTCTTCTCCCAATCTGTTCTTTCTCTTCAAGGCTTATTTACTTGTAACGCCACAAATTTTTCCCCATTTTTCCAAGACAGATAGATGAGAATCATTCAAGACACACCTCCTCCTTCCCCAACCTGCCACTTCCAATCCCAAGTCTTTTTTTTTGTTTGTTTGTTTTGTTTGTTTGTTTTTTTTTCCCTTTATTTTATTTTATTTTTTTTTAAGTTGTAGATTTACAATTTTTTGTGCTTTGGTTTCAGTTATACAATGATCAGATACCCATCCCTCCACCAGTGCCCATTTTCCACCACCATGGATAATATCCCTCCCACCCCCATCCCCCCATCCCCCCTGTCTCTGTGGCAGGGCAATCCCCTGTGTTCTCTCTCTCCTTTTGGGTGTTGTGGTCTGCAAAAGAGGCATTGAGTGGCAAACATGTTCAGTCCATAGTCTACTTTCGACATGCATCTCCCCTCCTGGGAGGATCCTCCAAATATCCTTTATTTGGTGCTCCCTTCTCTATCTGAACTGCCCTTTCCTCTAGGATACCCGGCTGGCCTCTAAGTTATGGAGTAATCCTCCTGGTGCTGATCTCAGCTATTCTTGGGTATTAATCTCATACTTTGTTACTTTATATCCCCCAGATGAATGCAATCTTTCTATGTCTATACCTCTCTTTCTGACTCATTTCGCTTAGCATGATACTTTCCATATTGTACCACTTGTATGTAAATTTCATGACTTCATCTTTTCTAACAGCTACATAGTACTCCATTGTGTAGATGTACCAAAGTTTCTTTAACCAGTCATCTGTTCTTGGGCATTCAGGTTTCTTCCAGTTTCTGGCTATTGTAAAGAGGGCTGCAATGAACAAACAAGTGCAGATGTCACTTCGACTATACATTTTTGCCTCTCTGGGATATATTCCCAGGAGTGGTATTGCTGGGTCAAATGGGAGCTCAATTTCTAATTTTTTGAGAATCGTCCATACTGTTTTCCAGAAGGGCTGAACCAGTGGACATTCCCACCAACAGTGAAGGAGTGTCCCTTTCTCTCCACATCCACGCCAGCATCGGTTGCTTTTGTTCTTTTCAATGTGGGCCAGTCTCTGAGGTGTGAGATGGTATCTCATTGTGGTTTTGATCTGCATCTCCCTGATGATTAATGATGTAGAGCATTTTCTCATGTGCTTTTTTGCCATTCGGATTTCTTCTTTGAGAAAGTTTCTGTTCATTTCATTGCCCCATTTTTGGATGGGGTTGGATGTTTTCTTCTTGTGGAGTTTAACCAGTATTTTGTATATCCTGGATATCAACCCCTTGTCAGATGTGTATTCCCAATCCCAAGTCTTCAGTACCCTCATACCCTCATTTAAGAGGATGACTTCAGATATTAATTCTTTTGCAAATTCTCAAGATATAATACACACCTCTCCATCATCTATTAGATATTCTCAATCCCACACTGCTGCATGGTTGTGTTCTTTGAGTCATTTTCCTCTCTTTCCCAAACATTAATGTTCTGACATGCAAAGCATATGCTCTTTGGCAAACAGTATCCTTTGTCTTCTCGAACTTTCTATCCAAACACTCCCTTTTTCACTCTAAGTGAATATTATTGTCTGACTATGTTCTCCAGCCCCAAAGCCCCACACACCTCTTGTCAAAGAGCAATATTCCCCAAAATAAGTCTATGCAGGCTTTAAATATTTCTGTGACTCCCCATTATGTTTGTGCTAAAGCCCACACCCATTTTGTTTTGCTTTTCTTTTTTTGAACACAAAGAGTTCTTTATAACCTGGATAAAGGCATCTTTGCTGACTTAAGTATAAAATATGAAAATTAATAGGGTTATTCTGCAGATCAAATGAAACAGATGCATTTATTTATGAATTTTATTATTAAAGAAGTGATCCTAGATTTATAGAAGTCAATTTTATGTCCAAATCTAGAAGTAAAGCAAGACCAAAGTAAGTTGATAACACCGCTCTAGTCTAGCTTCTTTAGAGAAAGTAAAAACAATAATAATAATAAAGCTAACATAATTCCCAGTAACAATGTAAGTAAAATGACAACAATTTTTAAGATAATAATCATTTATACCAAATATGATACACTGTTTTTTCACAGTCAGCAATCCTACCTTTTGGAAAGTAAATCATATTCATGTAAAATCATCAGCAGATTTTCCACAATGTTGAGTTCACTTATCTTCTCCCTGCATTCTGGGCTACAAATGAAAAAACAGTAATAACCACTGAAAATACACTTTATGGTAAGCACTTATTTAATACACTAACTCTCATATTGTCTCAGGAGGAGAAAAAAAACAATGTATTATTACCCCCTGGAACAGAGCTACTCCAAGTTGCAACATTTGCTTATTATCATATGTTTTGAATTTACACTTGTTTAGTAATTCTACATTTAAAACAGTTCCCTTTGCCCAACAGGCCATCCACACAAATATAATGATCAGCATTACTCATAATATTCTAAATTTGAAATGGGTCCACATTTCCTTTGGTAGATGAATCAATAACAAGAAAGTTATATGCATATACACCATTGAATATAATAATTATAGGAGGAAACTCTGCCATTTGGGACAACATAGACGAATTTGGCAAGCATTATGCTAAGTCAAATAAGCCAGACAGAAAAAGATAAATACCGTGTTATTTACATATGGAATCTAATAAAAGTGTATAATATTCTATGAGAAATTTAATCTCATTTAACTGATTAACTTTAAAAACCTGAATAAAATGATGGGTATCTTGAGAGTTTGGGAGTATAAGAAAATGAGATATAGGTTAAAGAGTATGAACTTTCTGTTATAAGAAGAATGAATACTGAGAATCTAATAAACAGTGTGCTGAATACTTAATGATACATGAAAGCTTGTAAGAGATAATTTTAATCATTCTGCCACATACACAAAAATGAACTGTTACTACTGTGAAGTGAAAGATGCATTATCTTGATCTTGGTAATTATTCCACAATGAATATGTGTAGCAATCATCAATATTGCACATATTTGTCAATCATTCCTTAATGAGTCAAGGAAAAATAAAAAATAAAAAAGATCCATTAATTGACACAAAAACTTGACTGTTTTCACTTAAAATAATCAATACTTACTGGAGGAAAAGATCATCTAAAATTTTTAAAGATAAAATGATTGAAAATTGTTTATCTATTAAAACAGGAGAAAATTTTTTAAAAAGTCAGCAAGATTGCTAAAAACACAGTGTAGTATAGAAATTTCCAAAGTAAAACAGAGGATTAGATTTTCTAAGCTAGGTAAATATCCTTGGTGAGGAAAAAAAGTGAAATTTTAAACCATAACTTAGTTTTTCAACTTAAATTCTTAAATGATGTTTTCCATCCATGATTCTCCTAAATACATTAACATTACCTTATGCTTATTTTTCACAATTTTTAAATGACACCAAGTAACTTGGAAAACTGATCATCTATTTAACATATCTCCCACTTAAATTGTGAGAGCTGCAGAACTAGAAAGGATATTAAATACACTTACCTTTCAGCTAAACTAGCCAGAGCCAGAAGAGTGCCCAGCAGGACATTAGTATCTCGGGCGCCAAGTAAATTTACTAATGTCTGAAAAAGTAAGTAAAAGAAAGTTTAATTATGTAAGTGCTACCAGCATCTCAAATATTTTATCCTCAAGGTAACAGAGGCTTACCCTCAAAAGCAGTTTTGCAAAGCATTCTGATACACAGTTCTTTGGTTAGGTCTTTATCTTTTTCTCATTCTTTATTCTAGAACTTTTACAGTCATTCCTTGCCCAAAATAGAAAGCAAAATGGAGCAAGCTACTTTGCTAGTCTGGTTCTCAAACTGGACTCTACTTCTATGTACCTAAATTCTGGCTCAGGGACCTCCCGCCCCAGAGAAAGTGGGGAGATAAATGACCTCAGTTGTAATTGTGGTAGTGACTACTGAGAAAATGTATTGAGACTGGCACTGTGCTAGGTACTTTTCCATACCAGAAACTATTCTTCAAGGCACTGTTAAAACTCAGCTTATTTGCAAACCAGTCAAGACAGAGCGTTACTATCAAATACTGTATTTGTCTTTTAGACTTCTTATTTATGCTGAAGAAGCATAAATCAACACTTCCAGGCATCACAGTGAGGAGGACAACTGAAAAATTCTTTCATGTATATTCCAGTTGCCTTCTCTGAATTCCCATTAAGACATATTAAAAGTAAATATCCCAAAATATCTCAGGCTGATGTTTTATGGTCTCTTTGTGTGGGATTGCTTCCTTTGTGATTTATTTATTTTATGAACTTATTATCTATTATTCTCATGACCTTTTCTTCTCTCGCTTATTTTGTTTTATTTTTATTTTTTCTGTTCTGTTTGTTTCTTGGGTTACACCTGGTAATGGTCAGGGTTACTCCTAGCAGTGCCTGGGGAATCGTGTGGTTCTGGGGGTCGAACCCAGGCTTCCAGCAGCAAGGCAAGTGCTGCAGCCCTTTGAACAATCTCTCTGTCCCTCTCACTCTCTTGTTTTTCTTCAGTCTTCCAACAAGTTTCCCAAGTGGCAGTCACTGACTTCTCCTTTTTACATTCTTTGTTAAATATAATTAACACCTTTGTGCTATTAATAGTTGTTCTTCAAATTCTAACTAATACCAGGGGAAATACAACAATTGAAAAAAAACTATGGCCCTGTACATGACCTCAGATATAAAATGAGCAGGATATATTAACACCTTTCATGCAACATTACTCTATGCTGGAGTGTGGCTTCCTTGGATATGAAAGTGCAGCATATTATTGAAACTTCCTCTAGGCAACAACCCTCTAACTTGACTATAAATATATTTCTGAACTGTTTTTATTAAATTTGCATTCATCTACTTCAAAATGTATGCCTGAACTCTATACGTATACTATACATTCACACATTTTGTACATATACATCCATTTTTATGTTTCCACTTGTAAACAAATACCTACAATCAGTATACATATTGTCAGGACTTTTGCAGCAACACTCAAATTAAACAGTAAGCCTAGTTGGTACTAATTAGCACAAGAAAAAAAGGCGGGAGAGGTCTCAGAAACCTCTATTGGTTGTTTCTATATTTACTCTTTAGTTCGATAAAAATATATAGAAAGACAAAAATATAGTATATAAAAAGACTAGAAGAAATATAAAAAACATGATGACAGACATTAATGATTTGGGATTAGGGTAACAGGGTAGTGGCCCAGAACGACATGTGGCTCTGAAGCCCAGTCTGTGAGCCACTGCCTGAGGCAGATCCTTCTACAACTCACCTTGTGGGCCCCGCTTGTGGTGACCCATTCTCTCTGGTCTTTGACAGCCGCAAGTTTTTGGAAAATATCTATAAAGAAGAAAATAATTCAAAGAGACTCAGAGCTTAAAGGGGAAAAGAACTTTCATCACTTTGCATTTGAAATGTTAATAGGCAAAAGAAAATCTCTCTTTCCCTCTCTCTCTCTCTCTCTCTCTCTCTCTCTCTCTCACAAACACACACACACATACACACACACAAAAAAAACAACAATGGAAGAAAGAGGGTGAGGGTTACTTTGGTTTGTCACTCCAAGAATAACCTCTCAAGTTCTAAAGTCTTTACTATATAGTACTGTTATAATAAGTCTTTTCTATATGGTACTGTTATAATAAGAAAGTACAGAAATACCAAAAAAGGCTATCCCCTCCTTCCATATTACTTGACATCATTACAGGTTCAGTGAAATCTATCCTACCAGGATTCTTCCTAAGATTTCAGTGTTCAAAGAAGAGAAGGAAGATGCATGAATGTGATGCGCTCGGCAAGGTTCCTCGGGTGAGGGTATCAGTTTTCAAAAAATAACTCATCTGGAGCCCAGGGCTCAACACAGACTTCCCTCTCTATGACTAAAGTGTCCTGCCTTACAAACCATTATTCACCTCACATCCCACCATAGTTAGACGCCTGGCGCTCCTCAAAACCTGGGCAGAGGAGCAGGAAGGCGTGTCTCCTAAGAGAGGACCATGAATGAGGAGAGATCAACCCCCACATGTGAACCATTCTTCACATTCCCACCATCATACCCAGTACTTCTTTTTTCTATTTCTTTTTCTTTTAAAGTCCTGAATTTTCCAGGGGCAGGTACTATAATTAACCAACTTTAGAGACTTAAAAAAAAACCTGAATCACCTTGGCTATTTTAAATAGAACTCTATGGAGGCCAAACTTTTGGCCCTTTTTTTACAAGTCTTTTTTGCACTTCATAGGGTTAAGGTTAGTTTCTGCTCAGTAAAGATCTTCTCTGACATAACATTTGACTGTGACCTAAAAGCTTTCCTCTGATGTTCATCTTGCTACTGAATATAGATATATATAATATATATATATACTATATATAGCACTGTAGCACTGTCCTCCCGTTGTTCATCAATTTGCTCGAGTGGGCACCAGTAACGTCTCACAATAAGATGTGAGATTTGTTGTTACTGTTTTTGGCATATTGAATACATCACGGGTAGCTTGCCAGGCTTTGCCATGTGGGTGAGATACTATCAGTAGCTTGCCAGGCTCTCCAAGAGGGGCGGAGGAATCGAACCCGGCTCAGCTGCGTGCAAGGCAAATGCCCTACCCGCTGTGCTATCGCTCCAGTACATATACTATATGTATAATATATAAAATATATATCATATATCAACTTATATATATACATAATCTGTCAGCAACCATAGCTGGGCCTGGGTTCGCTCCTAAATACGCAGTGACCCCCTCTCTCTTCCTGGTCCCATGGCAATGCTTACATGTCATATTCACCAGCTTGTCCACACTGTGCTGCTCCTCTCCATAGCCCAGGTATTCATTGGCCACGATCTCCATGTACTGGGGGAGGGAACCAAACCAACAAATGTTAGAAAGGAGGGGCCCCAAGGGCTCACAAACAGGCAAGGGACAAGATTATGCATTTCTGAAGATGACCTGTAGGTGGCAGAGCTGTTTCACTAACTACTGGGAATTCCTGGGCCATCTCACTGAGAGGAAAAAAGTTGTCGGTTTCTGGATTCTTTGCCTTTTGCAGGTTCTAGAGGTGCAAGAGGAACCATGAAGATGGCAAACTCTCAAAAGTCCCCAAATGATCTCACTGAACAAGTTCCCGGTGAAATAACACAACAAACAACTTAGATGCATAATAAATAGCACATAGAATTTTATTCTTTAACTATCAGATTCTGTTGAATTGCATTCTCTTTTTAGGAGATGAAAGGGCGAATTAGGTCATACTGTTAAAGTGCTCAGGGGACTTTATGCAGTGCCAGGGATCAATTTCGGCTTGGCCACATGAAAGGCAAGTGTCTTAAGCTTTGTACTTCTCTCCAGCACCTCACATTAATTGACGTATTCAATATGCCAGACACAATAACAAGAAGTCTCAAAATGGAGACGTTACTGGGCCTGCTCAAGCAAATCAATGAACAACGGGAGGACAGTGTTTGACAGTTTGACATTTTGGTAATATTTTCACAACACACTTATATACTTGTTAAGCTTATACTTTATAATATCCTAATATCCAATTTATCTACAGATAGATAAAAATCAAAGTAAAATAATTATGGGATAGTTTGATAATTCCCCACTGCTGATAACTGATTATAATTAGAAACAGGTACTGAGAAGTACATATAACTTTTTAATCCCATAAAAAAAAGTTAAAGTAAATAAGTACATCCTTTACAGTAGAGTTTTGTAAAAGGATACTACATTAAGTGAGGTAAACCTTCAGTCAATTATGAAAAGAATTCTTTCTGTTTGTTTCTGGACCACATTACTACTGGTTCTGCACTCAGATCACTCTTGGTAGGGCTCGGGGAACCATACAGAGTGCCAGGGATTGAACTCATGTAGGCCGCAGCAAGGCAAGAGCCTTAACAGTTGTACTATGTCTCCAGTTGAAAACAACTTTTTTTATCTGTCACTGTCACTGTCCTCCCATTGTTCACCAATTTGCTTGTGAGGGCCCAGTAACAGTGTGAGACTTGTTACTGTGTTTGGCATATCAAATACATCAGGAGTAGCTTGCCAGGCCTTGCCATGTGGGCGAGATAGTCTCGGTAGCTTGCCAGGCTCTCCGAGAGGGGTGGATCAGGTAGGCCATGTCTGTGGTGTGCAAGGCAAACACCCTTCCCGTTGTGCTATCACTCCAGCCCACTTTTTTATCGATCACGATCACGACCACCCTGTTGTTCGTCGATTACCTCGAGCAGGTGCCAGTAATGTCTTCTTCGTCCTAGCCCTGAGATTTTTTTTTAAAAAGTGCCATATTCAAAGCTTTTTCAGGGTTAGGAGAATGAGACCCATCATTGTTACTGGTATTTGGCATATTGGGTATACCACGGGGAGTTTGCCAGACTCTGCCGTGTGGGCAGGTTACATTTGGTAGCCTGCCAGTTTGTCCAAAGTAGGAATGAGATGATAAGATGTTGCGCGGCCGCGAATGCAGCTGCGCGCTTCCGGGAGCTGAGTATGATAATCTCTGGATCCTGGCCATTGTTGGAGTTACACGGCAGTTGGTGGGTGTAACTGTCTAGTTACTGGCAGGTCCAGTCCCAAACCGTGCAGGCTTGGAGATCTCAGCCCCGGGTCCCACACACCTGGGTTCCTCTGCCAGTTCTTTTATGCGTGAGGCTCATCCAGGTGTGTGGAGAGTGGTCCCAGCATGGCCTTGGCTGGGCCCCGGAGGTCTTCAGCTGTTGGGCCCTGGTGGAGACAGTCAGGCACAGGGTAGGAGACTCTGCCTTGTTCTCTCCCGGGAGCTGAGTGTGATAATCTCTGGATCCTGGCCGTTGTTGGAGTTACACGGCAGTTGGTGGGTGTAACTGTCTAGTTACTGGCAGGTCCAGTCCCAAACTGTGCAGGCTTGGAGATCTCAGCCCCGGGTCCCACACACCTGGGTTCCTCTGCCAGTTCTACTTTTTTTATAATCAAAAAAAATTTTATTTAGAGAACTGTGATTTACAAAGTTATTGATAGTTTAGTTTCAGACATATAATGTCTGAATCCGACCACTAATGTCAACTTCCCTCAACCATGTCCCCGAGTTTCCTCCTGACCTACCATTCCCAAGACTGCCACCGTGAGAGGCACATTTTAAAGTTTGATAAAAATGATTCATTTTTTTAATTGAATCACCATGAGATACAGTTACAAAGCTTTCATGTTTGAGTTTCAGTCATACAATGATCGAATACCCATTCCTTCACCAGTGCACATTTTCCACCACCAATATCCCCAGAATCTCCCCCATCCCACCCCTCCCCCTGTCTCTATGGTAGACAATTTCCCCCATACTCTCTCTCTCTCTACTTTTGGGCATTATGGCTTGCAATATAGATAGCAAGAGTCCCTCACATTTGGCCCTTTATTTATTTGGCCCTTTCACTTTCAGCACACATCTCCCATCCCAAACAATCCCTCCAACCATCATTGACTTAGTGAGCCCTTCTCTACTCCAGCTGCCTTCTCCCCCAGCTCATGAGGCAGGCTACCAAGGATGAATAAATAATTCTTAAGAACAAAAACATCAACTTCCCCCAAATCGAAATGTAATTTAAAAATAAGATGGCTTTAACCTTAAATTACCATAGATCAAAGTTGCCAATGATAATTCAGGAAAGTTTGTAAAAGCACAGGTCTCATATTAAAAGCATTGTTTCCAAACATGGGAAAGTTTTCCAGAAAAATGGAACTTTGGGGATACCAACCAAAGAGTACATTCAACAAGCTAAAGGACATGCTTTGCATGCAGGGGTCACACGCTTTGCATGCATGACATTGCATGATCTCCCAAGCTGGAAGCCAAGAAATAACTACTAAGCCCCAATAAAAGTGAGTGGACTATAAAAATCCTGAAATTTTGCTTTTTTCTTTGATAAACTCAAATACTCCTTTGGCTCAGCACATTTACTTGCTTATCTTTCCCCAGAAATTCCCCAAACTGACAAAGAAATAAAGCCAAGGGGCTGGAGTGATAGTACAGTTTGCCTTGCACGTGGGCCAACCTGGATCAATCCCTGGCATCTTATATGGTACCCCGGGCAACGCCAGGAGTAATTCCTGAGTGCAGAGTCAGGAGTAATCCCTAAGGATCGCTGGTGTGACACAAAAAGCAAAAGAAAGAAAGAAGGAAACAAGGAAAGAAGGAAAGAAGGAAGGAAAGAAAGAAAGAAAGAAAGAAAGAAAGAAAGAAAGAAAGAGAGAGAGAAAGAAGGGAGGGAGGGAGGGAGGAAGGAAGGAAGGAAGGAAGGAAGGAAGGAAGGAAGGAAGGAAGGAAGGAAGGAAGGAAGGAAGGAGAGGGAGGGAGGGAAGGAGGGAGGGAGGGAGGAAGGGAGGGAGGGAGGGAGCGAGCAAAGGAAGGAAAGGAAGAAATGAAGGAAGGAAGGAAGGGAGGGAGGGAGGGAGGGGAGGGAGAGAAGGGAGGGAGGGAAGGAGGGAAGGAAGGAAGGAAGGAAGGAAGGAAGGAAGGAAGGAAGGAAGGAAGGAAGGAAGGAAAATAGGTCCCTCCTCATGCTGCCACTCACTAGTACTTTAGTGCCCGCAGTGCTCCTTTGTGGAAAAGGCAAGCACAGCCCCATAACCTACATTGTCTCCTGTCATTGGTATGCGCATTGCTCTGCACTTGGAGCTGCAGCCACACCCTTTCTTCTCATTGACCTTTCATAGCACTTTCACTTCAGCAGACAGGGTGAGTGAGCACAATAGCCAGAAGGAAATGCCATAGGTCCTTATGAGTTAGCTCAGTCTCCTGCCTCCTGCCACACTCACAAGCAGGCAGCCTTGGATAAGAAAGCCCTCTTCTGCCACATGCCTGTGTAATCCTTGCCCAGAGCCAAAGCTGAAAATGGAAAGGCAAGACTAGTGTCACCACTGCAGGAATCTTACCTGAGCTAGGTTTTCAATTCCACCCAAGCTATGGAGTATTTCCTAAGAAAACAAAAGAGATAGGAAAAATATCAATGAAGTGAGTGGAGCAAGAACTGTATTCTACATTTCCTAATCAAATCATGAGATTTATAATGATTTTCGAAGGCTGAACTTCTATCATGAATGTGGAAAGTGCCAATCTGTTCCATGCATGTGTCATATTCAAGATCAACGGCTAATACGTGGTCCAGATTAAAAGAATGTACACATACTCAGAACTGCAGCCTGCACCTTCATCTGCCCTCCTCCCCCAGTATCAGATAATTAAAATGGAAAAGGGCTGTCAGATAGTATTCCCAGGGCTGGAGCAATAATGCAGCAGGTAGGATATTTACCTTTCATGTGGTCAAGCTGGGTTCAATCCCCAGCTTCCGCAGATAGTGCTCTGAACACCATCAGGAGTGATCCCTGAGAACAGTGCCAGGAGTAAGACATGAGCACTACTGGGTGTGTGGCCCCAAAACAAATCCCTGCAACTGGCAATCCCTACTAATCCCTCATATTGCAGACCAGGACACTAGGACCCAGAAAGCTAACCCATTTTGCCCAAGAAATGGAACGGCAATAAGAATTCTGTATTCCAAAATTCCTCAGACCTTCCCCTGAGCTTCTGCCCAGTTGGTCCATGGACCAGTAACATCATCATCACATACTGCTGATTAGATATCCAGAAACTGGGGCTGGAGTGATAGCACAGTGGGTAGGGTGTTCACTTGCATCCCATATGGTCCCCTGAGCACTGCCAGGGGTAATTTCTGAGTGCAGAGCCAGGAGTAACCCCTGTGCATCACCAGGTGTGACCCCAAAAGCCAAAAAAAGAAAGGAAATCCAGAAACTTCTCTTTACCCTAGTCCAATAGAATCTCACACTGAATTTCAACCAGCTCTCTAGAGAACATGCAGACACAGTAAAGTCTGTGGAGCACTACTCGAGTGAAGTACTGGGCTCCTCTAATGCTGCTATGCTTAAAACCCCTAACCAGGGAAGTAGCTCAGAACAGAGCCACATGCATAGAATATAAAAGGCTCTAGGCTCCTTCCCCAGCACAATAAACAAACAATTAGTCTAATGGTTTCTTAAACTCATACCCTAAACCAGAATGTCCTCAACTTATTTGGCTTACTTATTTGCCCCGCCCCCTTTACAGGAAAAAAAATGCTCTTCGCAAAACCCCTCCTACATCCAAGAAGTCCACCTTTAAGTGAACAAATGGAAAGGGGCAGAGCAGCCTTACCTGGGGTAGGGGTACAGTACCCCCACCCCAGTGCTTTGGGAAACACTGCTTTCAACACTGTAGCACTGTCCTCCCCTTGCTCATCAATTTGCTCAAATGGGCACCAGTAACATCTCCATTGTAAGACGTGTTGTTACTGTTTTTGGCATATAGAGTATGCCAGGGGAAGCGTGCCAGGCTCTGCCATGCAGGCGGGATACTCTCCAAAGCTTGCCGGGGTCTCTGACAGGGGCAGAGGAATAGAACCTGGGTCAGCCGCGTGCAAGGCGAACACCCTACCCCCTGTGCTATTGCTCCAGCCCAAGCAAGTATCACCGGACACAGGCCTTACCTTAAAAATCTAAACCCCCTAAAACATATTTCATAAGCTGAAGTCTGCCTTAAAAGTGCTGATAGGGGAGAAAGGCAGTGAGAGGTCGGAATCAAAGACCTTGCTAGGAATTGTACTGGCAGAAAATATTCTCAGGTTATCCACACTGACATTTTTCTTTGTGTGGATCATACCTGGCTGTTCTGGTTTATTTAATCACAGCCAAGTTGATGTCTCTCTCCTTGACATGCACATAAGGAACACATCTGACAAACACAAGCCACTATTCTGATGCTAGACAGATGCAGAGGGATAATCCTCTGAGTATGAGAGTGAATAATCTAGTTCCACCAGTAAGTGATGGAGGGCATAGGCCAGGGAGAGGCCGGATTCTCAAGGCCTTCTGGATCAAGGTTCCTTCTTTGTTTATTTTAGTTTTGGTCTCAAAGCCAAGTTGCCCAAAGGTTACTCTGTGCTTGAGGGTTGTAGCTCCCAGCAGTGCTCAGGAGACCTGGGTGGTGCAGGGATTGAAGCTGGGCCTCCTGCATGCAAAGCATACGCTCACCCCACCTCTCTAGTCTCGCTCAGGGTTTCTTATTCTATGAGAAGCGGGTTTGAAAACAGTAAGCACCTCTATGTTCAAATTAAGAATGAATTGGGTATTTATAACATAATTTTATACAATTATGTGACCAACAAAACAAAACCCCCATCATTGTCATTTATTTTATAAGAGCCATAATCAAAAAACAGGATTATTCCTAGTTATGGTAGAATACTTTGGATATGTAATTTTTAAAAATTCTAAATTACTTATCAGAATTACATTTTAGGGAGTAGAGAGATAGTACAGTGGGTGGGTCATTTACCTTGCATGCATCCCAACCCAGGGTTCAATCCCCAAGACCTCATATATGGTCCCCTGAGCCGAGGAGTCATCCCTGAGTACACAGCCATATGTAAACCCTAAGTATGACTGGGTGTGTCACCAAAAAAATATCCCCTCAAATTACATTTTTAAACTACTTATATTTATTCAATAAGCAGAGTTGTTTTTTATTCCTGTGATACAAAAGTTTGGGATAGGCTCTGAAGAGTTGACAAATATGCAGAAACCTACATCACTGAGCTTTAGATAAAACTAGATAGATATAGAAATAACTGGAACTCATGATATAATTGTCAGTAATTATGCAAAAGTTATACATAAAGTGCTACAATACCAGAGAAGGGACACTTTATATCCTGCTGGGAAAACTTCCTGAAGACAGTAGCCTCTAAATGGACTTAGGAGGATTATAAGTATGCTGGTAGAAAAATAAAGTGGGGGTATGGAGAAGTGGAGAAAACAAAGAAGACTCCAAAGGAACAAACAGCGAACCCAAATGTGCAGAGAAATTGTATGGAAAGGGCATCAAGAAGTTCAAAGCCTAAAAGGGATTTGTGGGAAAACGTTTAGAGATATAGAAGATAAAACTGTGTGAGAAAATGAGCCTCCATTTTGGAAAAGCTACACAATCAACTGAACCTGCTGACACAGCAGAAGAAAGAACATACATAAGGGGACCTCTCCATATTTGAGTCTTGGGGGTCTGTGGACGATGACATGATGAATAGACACAAGGAAGGAAAGCAGAAAAGATGAGGTTGGAGAAGAGTTCATTTGGCCATTTAAGTTGTTCGTGGTATACTCAGGTGATAAATAGTACCATAGTCTATGATAAATGAGGCAAACTTGTGGATACAAAAGATAGAGTGAAATTTGGAAGTCACAGAAGTGAACAAGATTTCAACTTCAGACTTGGAAGCAAGAAACACTGAAGGAGAGAACAATGTTTAAGCCACCAGAGCTGGAGAGTTAGTGCAGCAAGTAAACACTTGCCTTGCTTTGGGCTAACCTGGGTTTACTCTCAGCACCAAGCAATCTCATGGACACCAGCAGGGATGATTCCTGAGCACAGAGCCAGGAGTAAGCCCTAAGCACAGCTGGGACTGATGCAGAAAGAAAAAAATAATAATAAAGTCACAGTCATTTTTAAATATTTACCTTCACAAGATATATATCCCTTCAATAATCAGCATTAATTATTTGGGACTAAGTATTTACCAAGCTATGTTCTAAGAATTATCATTTCATTCTGTGTGATGGATATCCTTAAGCATTCTAAATGCATTTTTTCAAGTTTCATAGTCAAATTCAAATTAGCTTGGGAAATGCCAGGTTAAACTGAATTAAATAAATTATTTTTTGTCATAAGCCTCCCTTAGAGCTTTTCACATACTGCCAAGCACTGTGAGTCCCCAATGGAAAACCTGAAGTGTAAATTTTCCTAAACATCATTAATTGAAGCACTTTGCCCTTCCTGGATACTAAGTACTGCCCAGTTTGAGGAGTGCAGTTAGAAAGGACAGCACGGAAAGAGAGTTCTGCACTCCAAAAGAATTTTGTTGTGACTGTTAAAATTTTCAAGAATTTTATCCTTCCTGGAATGAAGACCTTCACCCAAGTTCCTATGGAGACAGGAGCAAGGTTGGGAGGTTGTCCGCAGGCCCTCCTTGTTCTGTTTGCCTTTGGTGCTTCTACCAAGGGGACTGCTCTAACCTGCAAGCGTCAGGTGTCAGAAAAAAAACAAGAACATGAGCTATGCCATACTTAGGTTGAACAGTTCTGGTCACTGATCCAAAAAGCAAACAGGGCGTGGGGCTTAAGTTACAGCAATGCCTCCCAAGGGCCCTTTCAAGCATATTCTCCTGGTCATGCGTTGAGGGTCAGAAGACCAAGTTATGTCGCTCTAGCTAATGAGCTGAGACAGTCCTTCCTTGGTCAAGCTAACCTCAATTCCATGTACAAAGTGTGAACTAATGCATCTGCTCTGCCAATTCCTTCAAACCCCACTCTGGCACACATCTTCTTTCTTAAACGGATACAAAAATATAACACTGATTTGGAAAGAAAAGAGGAATGCTTTAAGAAACAAACCACACTGGGACACTTGCTACATTGTGCTTCTGTTTTTATCACTGCCCCAAATCCTGCCATCCAACACCCTCACTCCAAACACTTCTCAGCAGCTAAATCAATGATCACATTTCAAAGAACCTTCAATACCAAACTATTTTCCTTGGCGGATTATTTTGCTCCACTGATCATTTTCCTCTACTGTTCCAATAGCACCTGTGGATCTACCCTGTTTCTGAGACTCGATGTGACATATAAGAGACGACATCAAAGAGATGTCTCCAAAACCACCTATTTGGACTGTGTAATGTGTGGTAAGTTGTTCTCAAACTCTTAAGTCTCTGTACTTCTTAGGAAGTTTTTAAAACACAAAAGTACACAAGGCACTGTTCACCGGCGCTCCGGGTAGGTATCACCTCAGACCCCGTGAACTCTCGGCACTTGTAAGAGAGTGAAAGTGAAAAGGCACTTCAATGCCTTAGCAGGATTTTGAAGTCAGATTTGAGGGGTCTCTGGAAAGACTGCTGTCTCCTAACTACATTCAGAACCTCTGGACACAGAGTCATCAAGATCTGACCAGCACAGTTCAAGCATCTGCAACTGAAATACACAGAAATAGTTGAGACTGGAGACAGATTCTCTCTCTCTCTCTCTCTCTCTCTCTCTCTCTCTCTCTCTCTCTCTCTCTCTCTCTCAACTGAAGTCAACAGTTTGGAAGTCAAGGGAGGTGACAATTAAATCTAAAGAACACTAGGAGAAGATTCACCTTCAAAAGATATTTAGGAAGGGATCAAGGAAAAACACAAAACACCAAAACTTGCTGTGGAAGAGCTCAATGTTCCCCTGACAAGTGAAGTCCCAGAGCGAACCTGTGGTGGTGTGTGAGAGGGTGGGGCTCAGTAAGTAGATATAACTCCACTCTCTGTGTCTTGACTCTAAAATCATTGTAAATTAGGACTTTTCCAAATTGTCTCTTTGTCCTGAATGAGCTATCTGCTATGGGCACACTGATGAATCCAAGAGGGTGGGCACCCTCATCTTGCTTGAGACTCCAACTGTATTTGAAATCATAGAACCTGTATCTTCCTTAAATTCTGGAAAACTCCAGGCAATTATATTTAAAAAAAAAAAAACCTTGTCCTTCATTCCCTCCTTTCTCTTCCTCTGAATCAAATAATGAGAGCTGAGGCCTGGTATTTCGGTCTCTTGGAATCGTGATCAGGGAGAACTCTATACAAAGAACTCAAAGTACAAGTTGTGCAATATGCCATCCCTGACAGAAAGGCAGCCTGACCTTTCATAAAATGCAATTAAGAAAAAAATGAAGACCAAATGAAGAAGGAGAGCTGGAGAACATGGCACATTTGGGGTAGTTGGTGAAGTCCCAAGTGTGTCCAGGGGAACCAGGCTGCCTCCTAAAGAATCTTAGCCATCCTGGCTTGTGGGTCAATGTAACAGCCCAAGGATATAATGATTTTGGGGTCTTACAGGATTACCTGGGTCACCTCACCTAATTTTCCTCTTTATTGATAGGGTTTGCTGAAAGGACTTTATCACTTCAGTCACACTCAGGGACCTTCAGGATTGTACCAGGTGGCTCTTGAGGGAACCATGCAGTGCTGGGGATGGAACAAGGTTAGCCACATGTGCGGTGTATGCCTTAGCCCTTTACTATATCCCCAGCTCTGGTAAAAGGGTACAGTCTTGATCAAAGAAGATGGAAAAGGAGCCACTAATGCCCTAAAAGAATAACAATATTATGCCCTGGCAAGAATGAGTAATTTTTTTCATAAACAAACGAGAATTAAATATGCCCAAGTATGTCAAGCAGCAAAGAGAAGAGAAAACAAGAGAATCTTCCCTATAAAACAGATACTGTTGTTACTTGAGAAGGGTAATGGAGACAGAAGGGGCACTGACATGCCAAGAACCCACTGGACCCTGAATTTGTGCTTTAACATTCTGCAAAGAAATGCCTCATTACAGGGAAAGCTTGCTGGAGCAGAAGCATAAGCTGCAGTAAACCCAAGCATTGCTTTGTGACTTAAGCCAGCAATTCTTGGCAACCTAGGATATTAATCAACTGCCTGAGTATACGTTATTTCTCATAGAAAGTGGGCTAGGAGGAGAGACTTGGAGAGGAGCCTTTTCTACAGAAAGACTGGAAATCTGGGGGCACGCATCACTAAACTTGTGTTTTGCTCACAAAATCCTATCAATAAAGAGGCACCAAATTCTTTCCTTCAGACAACAGCACAAACAGGTAACACCAGGAATCAGTCCTGGCAGTACTGAGGGACCAGGTGGTGCCAAGGATTAAACCCAGGTCGGCTGTGTTCAAGAAAAGCACCTTACCTGCTTCTGCAAGTAGATATACATATAACATTTTAATCCAAACTGAATGCATGTTGGGGGTGGGGGTGGGGAAGAAGGTGCTAAGTACAAGAGGGTAGGAGATCTGCCTTATACATGACCAGGTTCAATTCTTGATTTTATTCCCTGAGCCCTACCAGGTGTGGTCCCTGAGCAGAGTGCCAGAGTAAGTCCTGAACACAGCTGAGCATGGCCCAAAAACCAAAAATACAGAGAGAGAGAGAGAGAGAGAGAGAGAAGAAAAAGAAAAAAAGGTACTATTATCTATTGTAATAACTAGTCATGTGAAAATAATAAGCACATGACTAATGCAAGTAAAATGGATCAAATGGACCATCCTTTCCTCATTTTTACAAATGATATACAGAATCGCAAATAATGACTCAGAAATACACAGAACACACAGTCTGTAGAGGTGGTCATGGGGAGAAAGAATCACACACACGCAAACACACACACACACACACACACACACACACACACCCATGAGTAACCATCCTAGAGTCAGGGGATATAAAGGTCAGACTCAATCCTACAGGTCAGCCTAGAATGCAACATGAGGACAGGAGACAGGGAAAAGGGGGGTTGCTCTCAAAGGAAGACAAGGACCCCCACACATATCAGGAGACTCAGAGACTCTGTAGCCAACTGGCACCCAAACACTTTGCTTTCGAGAAACACAATTCTTATGGTATCGACAAGGCAACAAAGCATCACCTGAAAACTTAGGGCAGGGACATATTTTCAGGTCCTCCCAGAAGCTGCTGAATCAGAAATCACACAGGTCCCAGCCACTGACCTTGTCCTGAAGTTTATGCTGTGTGTGTGTGTGTGAGTGTGTGTATGTGTGTGCACACATAGGCACACACACACACACACTTGCGAACTGAGGCTGTATGTAAACAATGCCCTAGCAGCTGAGAAAACAATGTGTGATGTGTCAGGTAAGTTTTCTTCAGAACAGCAATGCTGAGACACTCAGTTCTGGGTACTCAGACTTAGGACTAAAGGCATAAGTAACCCTGAGAGTTTGCCAGAAACGCAGATTCTTGATTATCCCCACTGAATCACGAATCTGCATTCACAAGATCCCCATGGAATCCCTATACACAATGAACTTTGAGAAGCAAAAAAAACAGGAAAAAGAAAAACGCACTTGACTGACTTGACTTGACTGACTAGGGGGAAGAGAGAGAGATTCTGGATTATAACCCTCATCAGAGATAGATGTGAGGTCCCTGGTTCACATTTTATTTTTATTAGGGGACCACATCTGGTGTTCCTCGGGGCTTAGTCCTGGCTCTGAGCTCAGAGATCACTGCTGGCAGTATTTGGAGAACCATGTGCAGTGCTGAGGATCAAACCAGGATCAGCTGCATTCAAAGCAAGTGTCTTAACCTCTCTGCCCTCACTTGCTCACGGCTCAGGCTAGAGGTTGGGAACAGCCTAGTCTCTGGGGTAGATACTGAGTCTGTCCACAGTTCCTGCCTTTCCCTTGAAGCTTTGGGGTTCCCTGAGGAATTGTCACTGATCACTGCTGACTTGCACCTAGTAAGCTGCTTAACCTCGAATCATGCTCTAAGTACAGCTGCAGCATACACATCTCTGAGGTAACAATGGTTTAAAATGTCAGGCAGAGGCAGAATCCAGAGTACAGCAGGGAGGGTATTTGCTTTGCACACTCCAATTCAATCTCCAACATACTATATTGTGCCCTAAGCCCCACCAGCAGTGATCCCTAAATGCAGAGCCAGGAGGAAGTCCTGAACATCTCCATTGTGGCCCCCAAACCCCAAAGAAAAACAAAAATAAACAAAAAATGCCAACCAATGGATGAGTGCTGTATTGCAATTATGTGCTTGAGAAACCTTTATTAATAGTATTGTAAATCACAGAACCTAAATCAATAGAAAAGATAAAAATAACGAGACAGAGAGAGAGAAACAGAGATAGAAAGAGAGAGAAGAGAGAAGGAAAGTGTCCGCCACAGAGGCAGGTTGGGGTCTAGGGGCAGTAAGGCATGGAGGGAGGGGAATTGGGGACATTGATGGTGGAAAATGTACATTGGTGAATAGATGGGTGTTAGAACATTGTATAATGAAACCAAATCATGAATAACTTTGTAACTGTGCATCTCATGGTGATTCCATTTTTTAAATGATAAAAAGAAAGGAAATAATAAAAATAAAATAAATGCCAGGCAATGACAAAATCAGAGCCCTAAAGTTCAAGTTACTTAATCCTGTGGTTAAGAGAGGATACAGAGATAGTTCTTTTGCCCCATTAAGTCACTTCTCTCAAGCATATCTTTTTAAATAGCAGCTAAGACAGTTCCCAAAAGCAAAAGAGATTGAGTTGAGGTAAAAGAAAAAGTAAAAATTAATTTGGCTTTTCTTCACATAAGGATTCTGCCATTTTCATTTCATCTATATAACAAGCAAAAAAAGAAATCAAGAAAAAAAAAGTTTGATTTTCCAAACCAACCTGGTAACACGGATCCCTCATGAGCAGTCTCAGGCAGATTAACACCCTCAGAAAATGAATAGACGGGGCCCGATTCACCCACTCTCTGAAAGAAGAAAACAAGAGAGAACATGTTCAGCTTTTAAAGACAAGCATGACAATTTAGGGAGGATAAAGGACCAGGAGGGAGAAAAGAGGTCACACAAAGAACCAAGTCTCCATTCATTTCAAGCATCCTCTGCCACAGGGCTGCTATTCTAACACTTGCCAATTCTGATGAAAAACACACCTGAGCCTTCTTTATCACTAGGAAGCAGGGTCCCCCAATTGATTGTTTGGTATTTCAGGGCCTTTAGTTCACATCCTAATAACTCAGTATCCATTAAACAAATAAAATAGGTAGACATTTTAAAAATATTTCTATTTTATTCTAACAGGTTGTAAGTGCAAACCACTTCACAAGCGGAGGGATCAGGTGAGAGAACACACGGGTTTCCTTGTCCATCTGGCTGGTTTGCTCTTTACTAGGGCGACCACTGAAAACCTGGCCTCAGAGAGATGCAGCACCATCGAAATCAAGGAGGGGAGCCCCATCCAAAATTAAAATGGAATCACCCCCACCCTTTCCACTCAGCTGTACTGCCTCTGACCATGTTTATGACACAAATTCTCCTTGAAAATGCAAAATAGGTCTGGAGAGAAAGTACAGGGGAAAGGCACTTGCCTTGCAAGTACAGAGCCAGTAGTAAGCCCTGAACACAATTGGGTATGACCCACAAACGAAAATGAAAAGGGAAAAAAGAAAATGCAAACTCTTCCTGACCCCAACCCTAGGGGTCTCTCTCGGCAGCCCCCAGAACATGTCAGCAGACATTTGTAAAACGTATCCATAAAACATTTTCTTGTTTGTTTTTGAGATGCCAAGAGTCAAACCCACAGAGCTGTAAATTGTAAACCAGAGCTGCTGAGCCCCAACCTCTACCCAACAAAGCAATTTCCAAGATCACTTTCCCCAGAAGGAGACCCATTTGCACCGGCAACAGGTGTGCAAATGAATGATGAGGAGAACCTGGTAGAGGGAAACTAGGGGAATTGGGTTTTAAAGACCAGAGTGCCCCCTTCCCCGATCTCATGAGAACACTGCAATGCACGTGACTCCCCAGAACTTCCACCTGAGGTGGCTACAAGCCAGTGCCCAGGGTGCTTGCTCTGAAAACAGGCTTTATTTTTAACACTGGATATTGCCAAAGCCTTCGAAAGAAGCTGGGGTCAAGAAACAGCTCGGGAATTGGGGTGCATGAATGCATGTAAAGAGCAGAGCCTGGCTCCTGGCACGACATACTCAATCCCAAGTCCACTAACCAGGGCCCTGGCACAACCCTGCCAGAGCAGTGCTGCATCTCTAGGCCTGAGCACTGATCAGTCTGCCCTGGATGGCTGAGTATAGCCAGGAGAGACAGCAGACACCTGAGCACTGCTTGGGAGCCTCATCCAAGGGAAGAATGACAAGATGTGCTCTGAAGTCACCTGAGGCAATTCAAGTGCAGTTGTTCTAAACACAGGGTGAAGCAAAAGTCAGGAAAGTACAGACTGGACTTAGGAAGAAGGGGACAGATGAGCCCCACCAAACACTGTAACTTGCTGGTCCCTTCCACGTGACACTTGTCTTGTTCCACCCTCATGCTAGCCCAACAGTGGTGCTTGATGCAAAAGGTTGGCCAGAACCTAACACACAAAGTGTGTACTGTGCTCAAGTGGGCCAAGGCAAATGGAGGAAGATATCAGAAGTGGCTCCAGACAAGGAGCCTCAAACTGTTTCTCCTTCCCTCTCCTACCTCCACAGCCGAGAGCATTCTTGGGAGAACTGTCCCTGCAGGGGGCTGAGCCATGGCCCCTGCCTTGCTTGGCCAATGGCAAGGCACCCCACCTTGTCAAAGGCTGAATGGACATCTGTGGACACTCTCATACTGCCTCCCTTGGCCAATGGCAGCAGAATTCAGCTTTGTCTCTCTTGCCTTATGGATTTCAATGCACTCCTAAACCTATACATCATCAACCTGAGGGCACAAGACACAGACAACCTTCTCTAAGGCTAAAGGAACATCTGTGGACACATCACCGGAGGGGTGTGACATGCCCTGAGGCCACTTAATATTCCACGTTGTCACTGACACTCCATCTCTGGGAAGATTTAACCATGGAAAGGTTGGAAATCAGCTTTCTGTTTTCACAGATGTCCGTTTCCTACCAACAGAGGCTGCTGAGAGGCTGAGGGAGCTGTCCCAAAAGCATCCCCATCTCCTCCTGCCACTACTGAGGCTCCGCCCACCCCAGCTGCGGTCCTCACCCCCCCCCCCCCCATCTCCTCTCCCACCAAATATGACTCTTCTGCTCTGGAGGTGAAACTCAGATTTTTCTGGAATTGAAGGGAGGACTCACCCTCAGTCCAGAGCCATTGGCCAAGGAGACCTTCAAAAGGCCACCCTGGAAAATCCCACTACTGGTTCGCCCCAGCATCCCTGTCGGGGGGGGGGGGGGGGGGAATAATGCAAATTTGAAACACACTAGCACAGGATAAGACCCTTTCAGATACTAGGGCTGGTTAAAGAATAGCATGGGCCAGGCCAGACGAGCAAAGACCTTCATCCCAAAGACCTAACAGAACCCAGGATCCAGTTTCAACAGCTGCTGCGATCTAAAGTGGCGTGATGCTAACTTCTTTTTATTATTGAAGAGAAAGATCCGGGGGACACATGGTCGGGTGACTCAGGAGACAGGCATGTGTGCACTTGATTTCCCTGTAAACTAGAGTTTCATAAGGAAAGTCCATGACCTTTCCATTGTTGCGCATATTAAAAACTATGAAAAGTATTTCTCTGTCTCCTCTCCCTCAAGAAAAAAAAGTAAGCAAGAAAAAAATTCCTAAATAGGTTTTTTTCAAACTATTAAAAGAGTGTTCTGTAAATGAGAGTTCCAGAAGGGGCTTGGAGCTGAAAGTTCTGTTCCAAGCAAATAGTTCTGTTTTTTTTTTTTTCCTTTTGCAATTATGGGATCGCAGCCCAAAGCTATTCATGCTTCTATGCCATCCTGGCCTCTGCTGCTGTACATGTAAATAGGATTCCTGGGGCCTGAGTCCTCTGGTTTTTCCTCACTGTGCACTGACTTCTGGGGACACAGTTGTTCCTTCCTTGGTGCCCAGTCCTCAAGCACTCTCCCCTAAGAATACAGGCCAGCCAGTGAGGTGCCAGAATGGCAGAGGAAGACTGAGTTCTGCAGGAGGACCAAATCTCCATGTGCTGAGCGCTCAGGATCTAGGAAACATACCACGCAGTACAAAGGGAAACATCAGGCAGGGAGTCCCCTGCACAGCAGGGATCAAGTTGGTTGCCCAACTCACGGGCCAGTGCTCCTGCCATCCCTTCCCTTCCCCCACTCTGCCCCAGCCTCCGTGCTAAGACTTCTCCATCCGCTCAGGAGCAGGAGTGTTCAGCAAGAGAACCAGGAGGACTTCCGTGGTGCCGCTGTGAAGAGTTTCCCTGGAGGCTATTTCTCAACAGGGTACCCCAGCCAGGAGCGAGGTGCCGCGCGTGCGCCCACAGACAACTCTTGATCCCCTCCTGTGCCGGCGCCCGTGCGTAAGCTTTCCTGGAGCCGCTAGGCCATGGCCCGGTGAGCATGAGCTGCTCCTGCGACCTTTGTCCACAGCCACCTGCCTGCGTGCTGTCAGCTTCATTTTCTGTCATCAATATCAAAAGAGGCAGAGGAACGGCACGCCAAACGGTACGATGTGAGCGCCCTAGATAACATCACGGAGCAGAGCGGTGAGACTGCAGGCGGAACAGCACAGCGGCAAGAAGCAGGATAAACAAGAACTTAGTGCCTTGGGGTTTACCGAATCAAGGGCTGTGCGAGTGGCTGAAAATTATAAGCGAGAAACCCCCTGGGGAGCTGGTCTGTCACTTACTTGCTCTCCTGGCTCACTCACTCCAAACGGGCTGCAGCTTTCTAGTAGGGTGTCACTTAAAGGACAATTTATTTTCCATATTGCTGCTTTTGTGAACACACAAAAATGTCAATAGAATGATTATCTTCCGCTCTAAAGTTCAAATGTGGGGGAAGTTCAGACCTGTTTCCAAATAGCTAATACCTCAAATTACTTCAAAACGCTTAAGACAGTGTCTTGGGTAGGGGGAGGAGGTGGGGGTGGGAAGGAGTGTTGGTTGGTTTGGTTTGGGACTACACCCAGCTGTGCTCAGGGCTTACTCCTGACTCTGCACTCAGGGATCAATCCTGGCAGGGATGGGGGGCATATGGGGAGCTGGTGATAGAATCTAGGTTAGCTATGTGCAAGGTAAGTATCTCTCAAGGTAACTATCTCTCTGACCCCAGAGTCCTATTCATATATTTATTTATATAGATAGCTAACAAAGATAAAATTTATGTAGAGGTAGAACTATAAAATTAAAAAGAATAGATGTATGTGGGGGCTGGAGTGATAGCACAGCAGGTAGAGCATTTGCCTTGCACGTGGCCAACCAGGCGGACTCGAGTTCAATTCCTCCGCCCCCCTCGGAGAGCCCGGCAAGCTACCGAGAGTATCTCACCTGCATGGCAAAGCCTACTCGTGATGTATTCAATATGCCAAACACAGTAATAAGTTTCACAATGTTACTGGGCCCGAGCAAATCAATGAACAATGGGAGGACAGTGACAGTGACAGTGACAGATATATGTGGCTAAAGGAATAGTCCAGGGGGTTGAGGAGCATGCCTTACATAACGGCTAAACCAGGCACCATCCCCACCATTGCTGACACAGCTTTGGAGACCCATAAGCACAGCCACGGTGGTCCAGAGAACTGACACAACAGGGCCTGACCAGCAACACATCCTCTGGCCATTGATTTCAACTGCCAGCCCAGCGGACCTACAATCACTGGGAAGGGCCCTAGGGCTCCTGAGTACCAACCACTTGGGAGCATCCTCTCCCACAAATGAGACAAGCAGATACAACACAATCAATAGCTGGATACTCAAGCAGGCTTAATGACTTGTTCCACCATCTTTTTTATGTGGGGGCCACACCCATTTGTGCTCAGGGGATCAA